CTGTGAGTCAGTGTAGTGCAGCGTTAGATGGATATTTCTCAATTATTTTCATTTTCGGCCTTCTCTTCCATTTTTATATCTTTGTATACGCGTTTTTACTGTATGTGCAATGTAAACCGATTTGAGACAATGACAAGGTCACCCCGATAAATGTTATATGTTTTATGCAATGTTTAAGTAGGTATTAATATTTTATTGACATATTGGTCACAAAGTTGACGGCACATGTATCATTAAAATTCAGTAACATTGAAGAAAACATTTTTTTACGTTGTTCTAAACTATCTACAAAACAATTTGAAATTCAGCGAACTTTTTTGGTTACAATCTTTACATTTTGTTTTCGACAAAATCCTATAGGTATTACCCATTTTTGCATAGTGTGCATTGAACACAAAAGAGCTAACTAACTATTACCTCCAACGAAATTTCGATAGATCAAGTTCATATCACTATAGTTATTGGCATATTTTTTGATGACAGTTTTCGAAAAAAATAATTTCACATAACAAGAATTAATTAATCAACAAGTTTGAAGCATATCCTCCTATTCTTATGTGAAAATTGCATTTTTAATAAACTGAATTTTAGCATTTAAATGAACTGTCACAATTTCGTTTGACATAATATGTACATAATTGCACGTTTTGTTTTCAAAGCATACTATGTAAAAATGGATATTATGGAGATATTTTGACGAAAACAAAAAGTAAACCGTACCATATGAAAAATCACCGTATGGAGAAATTAGAGTTTCTGATTTTTCATAATATTTCAGAAACAATGCGGCTTCTTTTCAATGTTTTTTCGTAATTTTAAATGCATAATTTCGTTGTAATCTAACCTTCTCTGTATCTTCCACAGCTTAGGACATTCTAACGGTATATGTATACCTTGTATAAGTGTGTAAGTAAACATATATTGAAAAAATTATCACATGCATATATCCCAGCGCTTTCGTAATCAAGAAAAAGTTCCAACGACAAAGTTTGTCAAGTCATTGGTGATATTCTGAAATGAAAATTACGTAACAGTTTTACTATAAGCAAACTTCGTGTTTCGAAAGTATAGTGAATTAAATGTCAAAGTAAAAGCGGTATTGTCCACACACGCCTTCACGTTATCTAGATTTTGTCCGTTTCGTACAAGTGCCAAACGTTTCATTATCATTTTATCAATTATCGAATATTCATAGTTATCTAACCGTGGGGAAGTTTCACAAAAAAATTTCTCAATTCTCAGCGTAGGTACATTTTTTCGACAATTTTCTACTGTGTAATTATGTATATGCCAACCTATATTTAATATAAAATCGCCGACCTTGCAAAATAATTGTGAGCTACTCGAATAGCAATTCGTTAATTCTTACTTTCATCTATTTAATCATAATACCCGTACAGAGTGAGGGGTTTTCAATGATGTTGTTGACATAGTTTAAAAAAAATGGTGGTTATAATAACATACTTTTAGATAACCTGTATGTAAAGGGTGGTTACTTGAAAACTGTCCTTCATTTCCTTTTTCGTATGGATTTATTTTTTTTTTTTAACACAACACGAATATGTATGTCACATTTCTGCCATATAGGCCTAACTTACGTTGCAAAGACTTTTAAAGTAGCCTTCAAATATATATGCGGTATTTATAAAGCTAACAGTTTTCGAGATTTTCGCAATTTAATACATAGTTTTATTACATTGTGACCGTGAAATAATTAATTGTGACAACTAAAAAAGTGATGTTAATCTGTAAACTAAAAAATTAATTTCGTAAAATGAAGGCAAATGTTTGCAGACGCAGAGAGATGCAAAATTTGATTTAAAAATTCCATTTTTATTTAATTTGCACTAGATAAGACAGAACACTAATTTTTGAAGCAAATGTACACTACATACAATCCTATAAAACTTTTCCGTCAAAACCAAATGGGGGGGCAACCAAATGTTTAAAAAAACGAAGAACAGTATTAAGCGAAGTGATGAAAATAAGATTGTTAAAAATTGTATTCTTGATTATTAAAAATAACATTTAATATTTCATAACATTTTTCCTATATCTACAAATAAATTAAAAAAAAAAAAATATCTCGACGATTTATTAACATAATATTCAATTGCCTCTGTTTCACGGTTGGCAATTTTTTTTTATTGAAAACCCCACAACTTTTCCCTACATATTCCGAACTTTTGTTCTGAATAACGGAGGAAAAGGCAATTTTCGTGTGACCACCCTGTACATAGATATGCATTGTTATTTAAATTTCAATTTTCGGAACCTACACCATATTATCTTAATGACGGTTAAGTTTCAAGTTCAAGTTTTAATACCTGATACGATTTTTTCAAAAGTCCAGATAACAACTCGTATGCCACACAAAGGAATATTTAATCGTAATATGCCAATTTTGGTATCCTGTATGATTTTTTTTTACTATTTTCAATTCTTCGTTGCAATACATAAGCTACATAAGCTATAGAAATAATTGCGGGTTATACAAATTACAATTTAATTTCACCAAATTTATGGCGAGTGGAATATTGCCGGCCAAATAATAATAATTATATTAGAGGTTCGATTTCAGAGAAAAAAATGTTACAGGCAGGACGTGGTGGATTTGCAGGGACATTACCTAACATCGGTGTTGTTTCAAGTAAGAGGCAAACATAAAAAGTCAACAAACATGACATCACCGACAGAAATATTTACCAATTTAGTTATTCATAAGAACCTGTTTGTTACCAGTCAGTTTATACGATTTTTGCCGTTCTAGTTTTATAACTTAGGTGAACTATAAATATTTATATTATTTATTAGAGTTTACGTCGCCTTGCGTTGACAATTTTCTAACTTGCGTAATATTATAATAACCTACATGTATCTAGTTGAATTTGGAAAAAAAAAACATCTCCAAATGACAGATTTTCTTGTAGTTTAAGAATACTTTCCAGTCACAATAATTATAGACCGTGAAATACAATGTGAAAAATTAGCGCTAATTAAATCAGTCGCTACATATATTTTTTTCACAGATTTTTCCATTCGAAATAGGTCACACACCCCGTATGCATATTATTTTAACGATAAAAATAAGAGGCTTTGACATTTATATTTCGTATCTAGCAACAGATAAAAGATAAGATCAGATACCATAACATTTCAAATATCCCGAAATTATAATAAAATATTAAATTACCTGGTGACATAAGATATTATAAATATTTTCAAAGCTGTAGCAGATGATATATTTTATATAGGATAAATAAATATTGCCAACTACAAGTGTACTATCAAAAATACATTTTTTTTCAAGTGGAATTGTAATCTTTTCAGTCTGATAACGTTGAGTGATAAGAAGGTATATGTATACGCATAGAAAATATAAACATTTTTCAATTTCCAATACCTACGTAAGAAAGATTATACAATTTGTCAAAATTAAAAGTTTTGTTGGGATCATAATATAACTTTATCTTCAGCAATTCGTATATTTTCACATATTTAACTATTTATTACCCCTGAGTATCAGGAACTAAATATCCCTCTTTCTTGTTGTTTAATCGCAATCCGTTGTACATATTTGTGCGTTTTTTATATCCTTAATAATAACAATCACAAAATATTAATTTATATAAAAGAATTATTGAAAATTTCGTTTTTATCAGGTCGAAACATCAACACGAAAATAAGATATGTTCCATTTATTTCTCTATCGGATAAATTATCTATTATTTTTTATTTGGAAAAACCCTACTGCAACAATTCGAAATTCCCCAATAAAGAGATTTTGCATCACAAATACTTTTTATATAATTTATATTTGTCCCAACGATTTGACTATCAAGATAGCATTAAATACGGTTATTCATATGTTAGTAATAAAAAATCCTGAATATTTCTACACGATAGAATAATGGACATTCTCTGATTATGTACTGTAGTATAAGTTTAAAAGCAGGATGACGTAACCAAAGTAGGTATTTGGCTCTAATCTGACCCTCAATAATCAGTGGTTGATCCCAAACTGACCCCAATCAGAATACATTCTTGATTGTTAAACAAGCGTGTCGTTCTAAACATGACGTGATGGTTATTTAAAGATTATTTATTTTCAGGTATTTATAACATGACGATCTAAATTATTCGCCAATAAATATGCAGATACTTGCTAAACCTTTTTAAAAGTTTTTACAGTGTATAGACGTCTTTAAAATTTTTCGTAGACTTGCAACATAAGTAGACATTTTCACATTGAATTGACTACATAATTATAGAGGTAACCTTCAAATTTTGAACATTCTGTATAACTATTAAATTTACTTAATTTGGTGACGTGTTTTTTTATTATCATTTAACCGTTAATTTGCTGCATAATTAAAATATTTTTGAATTTTCATTTGCATATGATGCAACACAGGTAGTAGCTACTTAAAAAACAATTATTTTTGTCAATTAGAAACCGTGGCCAAAAATAAAATAGAAACGTCGAAAAAATTTATTTGTATACAATTGCTTAGCATTGAGAAAGCGGTATTCGAATGGAATGACAAATGGTTATTTTAGTCAAAGTATTAAAACTATTAAACATTCCATTGTCTAATGATGTTATTTTAAGGAGGGTGTGAATGTTTGTTCTATTAGTTATGTTCGAAAAACTACTAAATCCATTTATTTTTATATCTATCTAGGTCTTGACCCGTATAAGGTGTGCAATATTTATTTATAAAAATGACTGAATTTGTCAGTAATGTTTTCGTTACCTCGCAAACATTACAGATACAGGATGTTTTTACTCCTTTACACAGGACAAATTGATAATAATTGATAATTGAGCCACTATATTGTTTAGTTAGTTTTTTTTATTATTTTTAAAAAAGTAAACTGAATAGTTAGAATATAATAAAGTCACAAATATATAGTAACAAAGTGTATAGTACAAACTCAGTTTTTAAATTAGATAATGGACGAAAAATTCTCGGTATAAAATATACTCTTTGACTTACCCACAAGTGCAAAGCTCGCAGATGCATTGTTCCTTGAGTGGCGGCTTGTAATGAGGTTTTTCGGGTTCAATTTCCTTAATGATTTTCTCTATTTTAATTACCTTGTTGTCAGACACTCTTTTGATGTTGGTAATATTCTCCACTTCATTCTGGAAAACGCAAATAATTACATAGTCAGACGATTAAAATAGCCTAATACAATTACTTACAATATCCTTAATATCAATGATGTCTTCTTTTATGAAGGTCTTGTTGACTCTATCGACTGTATCAACAATTTTTGTATCTCTGATGTCAGTAGTGTAATCTTCTATGACGGTTTTCTTGTCGATTACGCTGGATTTTACATCGGTGACATTGTTGATGACTTCATAATTTTCCACGGACGTTACATCTGTGGGTATTAAATCGGTCGGTTTCCCGTCCCTAGGACCTCCCGGTTTCTTGGGATATTTGTCCAAAGGACCCCTTCTGCCTGGCTTGTCTTCGATCGGTTTGGCACTTTTTGGACCTTTAGGTTTCGTGCTATCATAGCTGTCAGTCGTGGTGTAATGTTCTACAGACCTCTGGCTGTCGACAAACGTCTGGGAGTCTTTTATAACAGTTGTTTTAGAATCGGATATATTAGTTACGGATTCGTAACTCTCGACTACTGTCTTAGAATCTGTTACAGGAGACCTGGGGCCTTTGGCAGGGACAATTTTATCGTCTGTGGGTTTTTTTCGTGAAGGGGAGTCGGTTCTGGAAGGTTTGCCAGCCGCGGGGTAGTCTTCAGGACCTTTCCTCTTTTTGGTTGGAGACTCGCCTCTTTTAGTAGGTTTTTTATCGTCTGGGACCTTCTTTTCCTTTTTAGACGGCATACCTGCTGCTGGCAATTCATCTGGCGATTTCTTTTCGGGTTTTTTAGGACCTGACGTATCACTTGGAGATTTTTTGTCTTTGATTGTTACAGGTACCTTCCTGCCGTCAATTACTGTGAACTCTTCAACGATATTGGTGGTATCGACTAATGTTTTCGAATCTCTTACAATTTTGACTTTGGAATCCCGTATATCTGTTACGTTTTCTAAATATTCTGTTGTTGAAGTGTCAGAAGGATACTTTTTGTCTCTTGGTTGATCTTGTTCTGGTTTTTGAGGCTTCCTATCTTTCCTTGAAGGCATTCCAGCTGCTGGTAACTCATCTGGATGGATTCTCTCGGGTTTCCTGGGCTTGTCTTCAATCGGCCTTCTGCCACCAGGTCCAAGTGGTACTCTTTCGCCGTTAACTATAGTATATTCTTCTATAATATTAGTTGTATCCTTAAACGTTTTTGAATCTCTTACAATATTGACTTTGGAATCACGTACATCTGTCACGGTTTCATAATATTCTGTTGTTGAAATGTCTGAGGGAAACATCTTATCTCTTGGTTGATCTTGTTCTGGCTTTTGGGGCTTCGTGTCTTTTCTTGAAGGCATTCCAGCTGCTGGTAACTCATCTGGATGGATTCTTTCAGGTTTCCTGGGCTTGTCTTCAATCGGCCTTCTGCCACCAGGTCCAAGTGGTACTCTTTCGCCGTTAACTATAGTGTATTCTTCTATAATATTAGTTGTATCCTTAAACGTTTTTGAATCTCTTACAATATTCACTTTGGAATCACGTACATCTGTCACGGTTTCATAATATTCTGTTGTTGAAATGTCGGAGGGAAACTTCTTATCTCTTGGTTGATCTTGTTCTGGCTTTTGGGGCTTCGTGTCTTTTCTTGAAGGCATTCCAGCTGCTGGTAACTCGTCTGGATGGATTCTCTCAGATTTCCTGGGCTTGTCTTCAATCGGCCTTCTGCTACCAGGTCCAAGTGGTACTCTTTCGCCGTTAACTATAGTGTATTCTTCTATAATATTAGTGGTATCCTTAAAGGTTTTTGAATCTCTTATAATATTGACTTTGGAATCACGTACATCTGTCACGTTTTCATAATGTTCTGTTGTCGAAGTGCCGGAAGGATACTTCTGGTTTCTTGGTTGATCTTGTTCTGGTTTTCGAGGTTTCTTATCTTTCCTTGAAGGCATTCCAGCTGCTGGTAACTCGTCTGGATACACCCTTTCGGGTTTGCTGGGCTGGTCTTCAATCGGCCTCCTGCCACCAGGTCCAAGTGGTACTCTTTCGCCGTTAACTATAGTGTATTCTTCTATAATATTAGTTGTATCCTTAAACGTTTTTGAATCTCTTACAATATTCACCTTGGAATCGCGTACATCTGTCACGTTTTCATAATATTCTGTTGTTGAAATGTCGGAGGGATACTTCTTGTTTCTTGGTTGATCTTGTTCTGTTTTTTGAGGCTTCTTGTCTTTTTTTGAAGGCATTCCAGCAGCCGGTAACTCGTCTGGATGCAATCTCTCAGGTTTCCTGGGCATATCTTCGATTGGTCTTTTGTTACCAGGTCCAAGAGGTACTCTTTCGCCGTTAACTATAGTGTATTCTTCTATAATATTAGTTGTATCTTGAAAAGTTTTTGAATCTCTTACTATATTTACTTTGGAATCACGTACATCTGTAACGTTTTCATAATATTCTGTTGTTGAAATGTCGGAGGGATACTTCTTGCCTTTTGGTTGATCGTGTTCTGGTTTTTGAGGCTTCTTGTCTTTTTTTGAAGGCATTCCAGCAGCAGGTAACTCGTCTGGATGTAATCTTTCAGGTTTCCTGGGCTTGTCTTCGATTGGTCTTCTACTACCAGGTCCAAGAGGTACTCTTTCGCCATTAACTATAATGTATTCTTCTATAATATTAGTTGTGTTTTGAAGAGTTTTCGAATCTCTTACAATATTGACTTTGGAATCCTGTATATCTGTTACGCTTTCATAATAATCAGTTGTTGAAGAGTCCATAGGGAGCTGTTTATCTTTAGGTTGCAGCTGATTGGGTTTCTGAGGCTTCTTATCTTTTCTGGATGGCATTCCAGCTGCTGGTAACTCGTCTGGATGCACTTTCTCAGACCTCCTGGGTTTGTCTTCAATTGGTCTTTTCTCTCCAGGTTTTAGAGGAACCCTTTGTCCATCAACAATCGTGTAACTTTCAGTTATGTTTGTGTTATCGACAAAAGTTTTCGAGTCTCTAATAATATTGGTCTTTGAATCTTTGATATCGGTAACGGATTCATAATAGTCAGTTGTGGCGTCGGAAGAGTAGTTTGGTCCTCTCAATTTTTGTGGACCTCCTGGTCCAACTGGAACTTTTTTGCCATCGATTATGGTATAGTACTCGGTGACATTTGTACTATCGGAAAAGACTTTCGAGTCCACAGAAGTTTTGGAATCTCTTATTATAGTTGTTTTTGAATCACTGCGGTCGTCTGTAGTCTCGTAGTGTTCTACAGATGTGCTACTGGTTTGAAAGTCAATAGGTTGCCTCCTATTAATGTCAGTGAATTGTTTTACATTTTCAGAGGTTTCTGTTGTTAAAAAATCTTGAGTTTGTTTAGTTGGCTTTCTAGATGGCTTTCCCGCCACAGGTAACTCTTCCGGATGTTTTCTATCTTTCTTTGGAGGTTCTTGAGGGGATTTATCTGGAATTTTTTTACCCCATTCGTCTTTTTTCGAAGGCATACCGGCTGGTGGAAGATCATCAGGTGATATTTTTTCCTTTCTCCTTGACGGAGATTCGGATTTGCGTGATTTCTTATCTTCTGGGCTCTTTTGGCCTCCGGGTGTATATTTTTTTGAAGGTATTCCAGCTGCCGGTAGTTCGTCTGAAGATTTTTTCTCGGGTTTTCTTGAGGGTGACGACTTTCTTTCAGGGGCGTTACGGATCTTACTGGTATCGACATAACTTTCATCCACGTAGTAAGTGGTAGTTGTGTTGTGTTCAGTTGTAGTGTTATCCGAGCCATACAAGTTTTTTGAATCCGTTAAGGTTCTTTTTGAAGGAGAATCGGAGCGTCCCTTGGGTTTTCTTTCTGGAGAACCTGGTCGTTGTGGGGTAGAGGTCACGGGCCCCTCTCTTTTGGGTTTTTGTGGAGTCTCGTAGGTAAAACTACCATTCCAACCTGTCTTTCCGTAGTTACGGTCGTTCGAATAAATAATATCAGTCGAGTCAATAGTGTTATCTTTTATTACTCTTCCTTTGGTGCCTATAGTATTCTGTACAGCCGAAGTGTCGTATACGTTCTTTACCGCCGTGTTCCTGGAATCTACGGAGTGGCCGTAAAAATCCTTTGAATCCGTCGTTGTCTGCTGAGAGCGAATTTTCGATGAGTCCACGTAGTTTTCGTCGACGTAAGTAGTAGTGGAGTCGTCTATAACAGTACTGTCACTTACGACGTGAGTTCTTCTTTTATCTACAGCATCCTTGGTAGCTGTTTTGGAGCTGGTTTGTTCACTTTCAGACCCTGGAATTTGTTGGGTGTCGACGTCAGTGACGGTTTTTATCACGTTACCTTTGGAGTCGTAGTAGGTAGTGGTGGTGGTGAGGGTCGAGCTACCACCGAGGTTTTTAGAAGTCGTCTGGACATTTTCAGTACTGTCGGTGGCTGTTTTAGCACTACTAGTTGTGTCGATTTGTTTCTTAATCGTATCTGTCTTTTCTGTGTCTATAAAATTTTTCGTTCTATCTCTAATGGAATGCTTACTACTATCACTAATGGCATTGTCATGGCTAATGTTTACAGAGGAAGTAGTTTGGTCACCTACCTGGTGTATTTCTCTTGTCGCTTCTGACGATTTGCTCTTGGGTTGCTGCAATTCGGGCACTGCGGAATCGTACTTGGTTTCGCTGTCCCTAGCTTTTTGGGTGTAGTGCACCTCAGGGGTGATGTTGGTACCACTCTTAGTAGCCAAGTGCTCGTCGTTACTGGACTGAGTTGCGTGAGCAGACTCATGATGTTTTTTGTCGATTATCCTCTCCTTACCATCTACTATTTCTACGACATAGCTACTAGAGGAGCTTTGGACTTTGGAGGAACTTTCTTGGTGTGAAGAAGACGTGGAGGACTGTTCCACAGTGGTACCGCCATCGCTTTTAACTATTTGATTTTTTGTCTTCTTACCTTTCTGAAGCGGTTGCTCGTAGACGAACTTGCCGTTCCACGCAGAGTCGTTTTTATTGTAGGTTAGCTTTATTTCCTCCATGGGTTCTGTTACTGTGTAGGTGGATCCCGAGACTTGGGACAGATTGGAAGTTGACTGGTTTAGGTTGGCGGTGGACTGGTTTAAAACTGAACTAATTTGTTGGATATCAGTGGAATGTTTATTAGTAGAGGATGAGTCTTGTGCTATATAATGCCTGTACTCTGTGGACGTGGCTCCAGCTTCTCCATAGGTGGTGATTTTCTCTCCCGTTCCCGCAGGAAGGGTTTCTGTCACAACGTATGTGACTACGTTGCCACTAACTGGTAAATGCGACACATCTGCGATTTGTAGGCTGGAGGACGACGAGGATTTCGACAGATTACCGGTCTGTGTCTTCGTGGAACTACCCCCGACTATTTTGGAAGTTTTCGTGGTGGCGGTTTTGCTCGTGCTAGCGGCAGTGGTACTGGAAGCACTTTTTTTCTTCGTTTTCGTAGTGGACGTACCTACTTTATTCACAGTCATGTTTAAGGCACTCGTGTCTATCACTAACAAAATTAACGTAAAATGAATAACAAAATATAACACTAGTGTAAGTCGTGTACGTGTGAACGCGGTCGCGCTCTTTTTGAAAGTGAAGAGTTCAGCGCGAATGTGAGCCTCGCAGGTTACGGGTGACCGTAGGATAGACCGCTACGTCACACTCGCTCCCACGTGCTGTTAAATCTTCTACATATATGGCTAGTCTGCGAGGTCTGCTTCAGCTTAAGATTCGTCACTTTCTATAAACCTCGAATGTGCAACGCCATTCTCGGAAAACAGATGGATTTTGCGACCGTCTTAACTTTCATAGTTAAAGTTGTATTCGAAAAATCCCAAGTTAAAATAGACGCACACTTCGTAAACGCAGCGGTTTGTTTTATAAAATTCCTGCAAACGAATGCCTCCTCTGTTTGTTGGAATTATTTCGTAAAGCTTATATCACGCCGCGACTTACAAAACAGCTACATGTTTCGGTGTCGATAGAAAACGAACAAAAACACAAAGGCGATTACATTTTATATTAATTGTTCGATATGCAGGTTTTAAATTTTGTATAAATATTGCTGTTGGTACATATAAATATTTCGCGGGCAATAATCTATTTTTTAGATTAACAAAATTACGATTTGAATTAAAAAATTTAGACAGTTCAAGTATGTAATAAATGCACTGTAAATAAGATACAAAACCTCTCAAATTATACAGAGCAAGATAAATATTAAAACAATATACTATTTATAGAAATGATTGATTGACATTGAGAAAAAGATACCTATATCATTCTTAATTTAATTATTATTTTCATATAAATGATACCAATAGCAATCGAAATAAAATCCAAAAGTAGTTAATTACTTTGTGTTATAAATAGAATTGTTTAAAATGGAAAAAGAGATAAATGAAGATTCGTGAATAATTGGTGAAATTTGAACACCCCACACATTAGTCACAAATACAGACATTACATTTCTTCCACTAAAATAAACAAGTTAATCACTTCTAGAGAAAACCACGCACGACAGGGTGACCAAATTTATATAAATCGCTATATATAAGATATGCATTTTATAAATAAGTATCCTTTATTAATTTCTATGAACTATATATAATTCTTTTATTAGTGATTTTATTTATATCCGCAATTCTAAAGGCAGTATGAGACGGAACTATTTTTTTTATGGGTGTGCGTCTAGGATGCCATGTAATCAAAAACGGAACACCATAGGACTACACTAATCCAAACAATTAAAGGGTCAAAAGAATTTCCGAAATTTTTCCGTGATTTTTGACAGACTGTATTTAAGTGAAAAATGGTCGTATCGAGAATTAAAAACAAGCATTTTGAAACTCTGAGATTCTAGTTTTTAGATCTTTCGTCGAAAGTTTTTAGGAGCTACGGTTATCATGCAATTCTAAGAAATAGCGCGACAAAAAAATTTTGCAAATTTTTTTATTTTTTTTCCGAGTTCACGGACTTGGAAATTTTTTTTCTAGCTGAGCCATTGCATGGACCAGATAACTTGTTTATTCACAATCAGTTTTAATTTCCTTTTTTTAAAATTTCGATACGACCATTATTCATCAAAATATCGGACTTTTAATGGAAAGGGATCCTTTTGTCTTCAGTCATCGATATCTTGGCGACAAATGGTCGTACAAAGAATAGAAGAGCAGTTTCGAGAACTGTAATAAATGTCCTATAACATGCTGCTGCAACTTTTCGACATTTTTTTTTTCGTCTTACACGAATTTAAAAAAACCGAAAAAAAGGGTAATTTATGATTTTTTAGAAAATTGACGGCTAAATTAGAAGTATTCACGAAATGACTAATGTTAAGCATTACTTTTACAGTTCGATATACCCAGAAGAACCCTGTGAAGTTTCATCTGGATCATAGCGAACCGTTTCTTTGTTTCAAGCAAACTTTTGAAAAAAATTAAAGGGCCATATTTTTTGAGCTTAAACAGTTCATAATCATTATTAAAATGGAAAAAAAATTAAATTGTTGATAAAAAAAATATTTTTCGAAAAATTTTCAAATAATTTTCGAATTTTTTTTTTGGAAAACCTTCCGGACATTGAAGAAAACAAAATCCAGTTGTTTCTGTCTTATGCCTCTATTCATCAGCTTTTAATTAAATTAAAATTAAAGTTGATGACCCAAACCTGATTTCGATCCCGATTCATACCGTTTTTTGAGACAAATTTATAATTAATTTTTGTGCAGTCTGTAATCACTTAAAAAACAGTTTTTTCAAAACTACCCTTTTTCTTCTGAAAAAAAATTTCGAAAGATTTTTTATTCATTTAAATGTTTGCGGTAAAAATGTGAGAATCTCAACAAATTTTTTTTTCCATTTTCATCATGAAGTGTTTAAGCTCAAAAATCGTGACCCTTTAATTTTTTTCAAAAGTTTGATTGGTTGAAACAAAGAGACGGTTCGTTAGATCGAGATGAAACTTCACAGGGTTCTTCTGGGTATATCGAACTGTAAAAGTCATGCTTAACATTAGTCATTTCGTGAATATTTCTAATTTAGCTGTAAATTTTCTAAAATATCATAAATTACCCTTTTTTCCTGTTTTTTTAAATTCGTGTAAAAGATGAAAAAAAAGTCCGAAAAGTTGCGGCAGGATGTTATAGGAAATTTATTACAGTTTTCGAAAATGCTCTTCAATTCTCTGAACGACTATTTGTCGCCGAGATATCGATGATTGAAGACAAAAGGATCCTTTTCCATTAAAAGTCCAATATTTCGATGAATAATGGTTGTATCGAAATTTTAAAAAAAGGAAATTAAAGCTGAATAAACAACCTATCTGGTCCATGCAATGGCTTAGCTGAAAAAAATTTTTCCAAGTCCGTGAACTCGGAAAAAAAAATAAAAAATATGCAATTTCTTTATCGCCCTAGCTCCTGAAAATTTTCGTCCGAAAGATCTAAAATCTAATTCTTAGAATCGCGCTGTTGTCACGTTGTGATGAAACTTCCCAATATTAATACTCGCTGTATTTTGAAAACTGTTAATCTTACGCCCCTGACAGTCAAACTTCTTACACCCTGTATACGTATTCCTCAACTATAGTAGGATCATATTCGATGCAAAGTCATAAATCATTGCCTGTCAAGGGAACCAATGAAGTACGCTTTTAAGGGTTTTACAAATTGAATAATTTCTTTATACATTATGAAGGGACGAGGGGATCAGTTCAGGTCTGGCACCCTTGTTCCTACAAAAATTCCTTTATTCTCATAAACTATTTATTTTAAATGTAATTAGATTAGAATTAGAATCTTAGAGCTTCAAAATTATTTTTTTTAATCCTCGATAAGACCATTTTTCACTTAAAACAGTGTCAAAAATCACGGAAAAATTTGGGAAATTCTTTTGACCCTTTAATTGTTTGCATTAGTGTATTTGTATTAAATGAGAAATAATAATACATTTTTTTTAGTTACTATTAATCACTTTTTGTAGGTTTTATACAGGCTATTCCTAACTACTTAAAAAGACGTTATCTTTCCAAAATACAAGACGTCTTTGTGTGTTTTTTTAAGTACTTCAATAATCATGTTTTTTTCAAATTTTGAACAATCAGACTACCTATTAGAGGGCATGTTTCAGTGTAACCTTTTTAATAATCTGGCCAGGGGCGTGCGTGTATACAATAGCATACAATTATTGTAAAACATAATATGTACGCCACTAACATTTTTAATTTTGTGAATATATTTTGTAATCGTACTACCTAACAAAAGATGTCTGATCACATTTTTTCATTCAATAATAAAATCTATGATCAATAAACTAATTAATAAAACAGTAAAAAATATGCAGTGATGTGCATATTATTTTTTTTAATAGATGCCTACGCTTACACTCTTGATTTTCGAACAGATGTTAATATAAACTTTCTCATAAGATGGTTTGAAGAATCATCCTCTGAAATCTTTTAAATTACTTTAGAAACACCCGCATATAAGTTTTTTACTTTACAAAACCTTTCAGGCATCGAATTAAATACTTTTTTTATTATTCGAGCACCCTAGAAGTGCCCCACAAAATTATGTTTAGCACTTTTTAAAAAAAAGAGTGCTGCGTGTAGAAAAACAACGAATAGAATTTTTATTCAAATTTGGTATGCAACTATTTTGGCAGGCGGCGCGGCAGTTATCTTTTACAGATATTATCTGTATAAAATATTCTATTTACAAAATGTCTAATAGCATGGACGTTAATTTATGTAAAAGCTCAAAATTTACAGTTTTAGTACCTACCCACATAGAGTTTACAAAATTCTTAAATCAACGAAAAAAAATGCAGTTTTCCTATCATTTAATTTCTCTATAGGAATCTATGAAAGCTACAAAAGAATTAAATGCATATTCGATAGAACTTATGTTACGCAACTTTTTTGCAATTCAACCAACATTACATCTCTTACTAGTTTCAAAATTTCCATAATGATCATCCCAGTGTTAAGGGGAGGAACATACGGATTAGTTCGATTTTTTTTACCTCGCTGACACAATTACGCGATCTCCAGAAAGAAGTTCTCGAATCTCTGGCGGCCCACCTTGGTCTGTAATTCTCATTTAACGCTCACCGTTATGGGCATAAAAGTGGTCCAGCAAGGATTACTTCCATTGGCGATATTACTTAAAGAGAAATTTTTTTAATCGTAAAAAGCTGTGATGAAGTAAGGATATTACGAGTTCAACATATAACAACTACATAACTACATATCTAGTTTGATTGTTTTATTAAATATACAGGGTGTTCTGAAAGTCCGTCAGGAAACTCCTGGAGGTGATTCTACGGATTAAAATAATTGTCAATTGTTTGTAAGTTACAGCTTGTCAAAGTTCATTTTTTTTTATTTTTCTACGTAAATAACTTATTTAATTCAAGGTCTATTAGTCTCTCATTTGGCACACCCACTAAGTAGATGAAGCTCTATTGGACCTATCAGAGGAAAGTTTCATTATGCGCCGCTAGACGGCACTTCACCTAGAACTCAAAATTTGTTTTGTTACTATTTCAATCCGTAGAATCACTTCCTGGAGTTTCCTGACGGACTTTCAGAACACCCTGTCTATTTTAATTATTCGGTCTTGTACTTTTATTTTATTTTAAAGGTAGTACGTATTAGGCGAATTTGAATAAATTCAAAAACTTTTCCTAAAATTCTATAAAATGAAGTTCTTTGATATCAGAAATCTATGTATGTGAAAGATGTCTAACCTTATTACAGGCTGTTTCTAAAGTAGAGGTCAAAAATCCACAAGCGTTTTCTGTGGCCAAAAATAAAGGTTTTTTTTTTGTTATATAAATAGGTGGGGGGGGGTCTTAGGACAGTCATTGTTCAGCTAAAGCGTGTCAAAAATTAAAAAAAAGTTTTTATTTAAACTAAATTCGGTGTGCATATTTATAGTCCAGTCACTGAAGGCAAAAATAAGGTAAAAGCTCCCAATTCTTTCGAATAGCATGGATTTTCCTGAAAATTTGCGTACAAGCTCATCTGACTCCCCACTTCAAAAGTTATATTGTCTAGATGTGTGTTTTTTTCTATTTGGGGGTGAAAACTACCCTTGTACGAAAAAAATGCGAAAATCGCAGATTTACGTATTTTAAAGATTCAATTCATGTTCAAATATGTTGGATAAAGTTCCTTTCATGTTTTTTAATATAATTTATGAAATTTAATTACTTTTCAATCCTTAAAAATCCTTGAAAACAACCCTTCCATGGCCAAAAAAATAGAAAAAAAAAGTTTTTAACAGTTTAAAATATTCTTTTGGTGCATTCACAATGTATTGCATTTCTTTTGTTATTCATTAGAAAGCTTGCGACTCATTAAAAAGTTGCAACCTTTAAAAACCATCCCTTATAATAAAATAAACAAAAAAATATTATTGAAAGCTTGAGATGTTTTAATGGTATGCATATGTTGAATTATAAACTTATATTGCAACTTTTCAGCCACCCAATAAACCCTTATGGAGGACCTACCCCTCATAAAAAACCCTACCCCTTATAGAAACATTTCCTAAAAATTATATGTGGGTATGGTGATACAATTATTTTTTTAAATTTTATTATTATTATTAAAATACTTACTCAAATCAGTTCACAAGTGCCCCAAAATACACAAAGATGATGGTAATTTACCCGCTCCGAAAATTTTACCAAAAAAATGCGATAATTTTTTTTACCCTTACTTTTGTAATTTTAAAGTTATAAATTTACTCAAAAAAACACTGTAGGAATTTAAAGCACTTTAAGTTCTGTGAATTGCAGTTTTTTTGAGCCCTTCGTTTTTTAGATTTGTAAGTTAAAAGGGCTCAGGAAAGGCAGTCCTGGAGCTTAGTTTTGAGCTTCTAACGGTCATAACTCAAGTCAAATTTTGTCCTACAGAAATTTAAAAAAAGCAAATTGTTCAGTAAGAAAAAAACTACAATTTCTTATTCTATAATTTTTTTATAACTGTTAGTTTTTGAAATATTTTGAAATAAAGCGATTTTAAAAAAAATTAAAAATTTTATTCAAAAGTAAATGAATAGAAATATTTTTTTAAATTTAGGCTTCTAAAATCACTCAAATTCCCAGAATCTACTGTTAATACATAAATAAAGTTAATTGCAGAAGGAATACGTTTAATTTTTTTTCCGTCAAGTCATTAATTTTTTAATACCGATTTTTTTTTTCTCAAAAATCAAGACAATTATTTTATTTTGATTATAACTTCATTAGTTTTCATGCTAACGACTTTTACCACCACTCAATTTAAAGGTCTTATCAAGAACTTTTAATAAGTGTTATATAATTTTCCCTCGAAAAACCTTTAATTTTTCCGCTACAGGACGTTGAATGTTTCGATTATAGCTATCTTCGAAATTGACTTCAACTTCTGGGGGTCATAACTCGGGTTCTATACCACCTACAAAAATAAAAAAAGCAATCTCTTTGCTATTTAATTACCTTCATTTTTGCTTATGATCATTTTTTTGATAAAAATTGTAGTTTTGGAGATATTCGCGAAAAATTGCTCAAAAACATGCATTTTTTGTGCTAAAAACGAACATGTTTAGGCGCAAATAACTCAAAAAGTATTGACTGTACAAAAACTTCTTATATATATTTTGTTTAGAATTCGTCCCTCTATCGAATCGTGAGGTTATTTTTAACAAAAAACTTCCCACCTTCCAGAAGGGGTGGCATCCACCCCTAGGGTAAAACCACACATCGGCACTATATAACATTTGTTTCTTAGACTATTCCCTAGCTACAGTTCAAATTTCACGTCAATCCATTCCATCCGAAAAAATTGGTAGCCAAAATGCTTCAGTGACTGGACTATTAGTATGACAGTAGGTTAAGAAACAAAAAATTACCAGCTTTAAAAACTTACCAGTGGAAGTGTGGGTATCATCAATCATTATTTGCCAAAATATATTACAAATAAAATAGGTCACCATATGCACCATTGTATTATCTTCACTTTTTATTTCTTTGTACTTATTATATTCTAAACCGATTAACAACAAAATTGATTTATTATATTTCGATATGGTATTTTTTGGCAATCTTTGGTATATTCTTTGCCATTTTCCGAGATATCCGTTCTAAATTCCTATAGCACGGAGATCTCTCCAACTGGTAGCATAGTTTCATAGTGGTGAGATGTGTGGAAATATTTATTTCGCCGCCATGTTTCGAAATTTATCAAAATTTTCAAAGCTTTTCGATCCAGGCTTCGCATATTGCCTTCGAAGAAAAAGTTCAATCAATATGGATGTGTAGAAATATTTCGTCGATATGGCATTCCTCGGCAGTTTGTAACATTCTCCGGCAATCTTTGGCAATATCCGGCAATTTTCAGGGAATATCATTGGTTAGGTTAGGTTTTACCATTCTCCGAGTTGTCCGTTTTACATTTCTATAGAACGGGGATCCTTCAAACTGTCAGCATAGTTTCATAGTAGATCCATAATATGCATCAACGGTGTATGTTACAACATAAAACCACCATACCTTTTTTACATATACTGAAATATCATAAAAACACCTTCGTTTTCCTATTATTAAAAAAGTATAGAAAAACAAAAAACTAAGTGTTCTTAGAGATCTCTACGTTTTAGTCAAAAACTAAGGTTATACTCGTATTCGCCTACCGCTAAAACATCCCCATACCAAATTTCATAGAAATATCTTAAAAAGTGACGGTACGACTGTCCACAAAATAATGATACAAAATATAACTGTTCAGTCATAAATATTTATTATTCCATTAACATTTCACAAAATATTTGGTTACGTTTATTATTTTAAGGTAATACAAGGCAGTTATAGCTATACCATAAGAGAAATATAAAAAATACAATATTTACGGCTAGCTTGTTAATAAATAAATAAATAAATAAATACTTTAAATCTGTACTTTATCGATCACAGTTAATAAATACCACCAGACAACACGCCTGTCTCTTAACATATTATATGGTATGCAATTATACAAAAATTATTAAAAAGTAACTACATTTTAGTAAAATTGGCACAAGTTGGTGAAGAGAGAGAAGTTATAAAAAATAATAGTAGGTCCGTTTGAACTGCTCTCGTTAACTTCTGCTATAGAATAACGAGAGCAATGTGTAAGTACATACATTTAACTGGGCGTTAAAGATATTTCAGGCAGTTTTGTTTTCAATACGGTAATAAACTTACTAAAATCTATCTTAAACTAGCGTACACATAGAAGTTAAAAAAAATACAACACTAAGTGAATTTGGACTACTCTCGTTAATTACAGCAATAGAATACGAGAAATGTATAGGTACATACGCTTAACTGGAAGCCAAAAATAGTTCAGGCAGTTTTGTCTAAAGCAAATTTTAGTCCTGAATTGAATTTTTTTTTTCTGTATTATATCATGCCTGTTTTAAATACTAACTTAATAAAATCTTATTAGAAATAGTGTACAGAGAGAAATTATAAAAGATTATAGTAGGTGCATTTGAACTACTCTCGGTAGTTGCTACCACAGAATAAATTCGAGAAATGTATAGTACATAGTAGGGTGGCCCAAAAAAAACGAATATTTTTGTTTCGTGTCTTGTGAAAATATGTTAGTTTATCATGTTTTAAGAGCCCCTCAAAAAATCAGCTCAAAAAAAATGTTGTTTTAATTTTTTATCGTTATTTTATCATTTTTTAGGTTGAAAAAAATCTCGATTCTGAAAATTTCAAATCGATATTTTAATTTCTAAAGGTCACTCATAATTATTTTAACTTTTAAAGTGGTGTACCCTGTTTTCGAGCGACCTCTAAAAAATTTAAAAAAATTTTTGAGCTGATTTTTTGAGGGGGCTCTTAAAACATGATAAACTAACATATTTTCACAAGACACGAAACAAAAATATTCGTTTTTTTTTGGTACACCCTAGTACATAGGTATGTTTCACTGGAAGAGAAAGATAGTGCGCGTAGGTTTGTCTTCGAGAAAGTTTTTTAAGATTTGAAAAGTTTGCATTTTTATTTTGTTTTTAATTACTTCTCGTTTGTTTTAAACTATTAACATACAGGTAGTAACAACTTAATAAAATCTAATTTGAACGAGTTAATATATGGATAGAGGATAGAGGTTATAAAAGATAATAGTAGTAGGCACGTTTGAACTACTACTCCAGTTACCTTTCTATCATATAATAAATTCGAGAAATTTATAAGTACATAGGTATGTTTAACCAGACTGGAAGTTAAAGACAGTTCACGTAGATTTGTCTTGATGAAGGTTTGAAAGTTTTGAAACATTTATGTTTGTTTTTTTTTCATTAATTTTTAGCGTATTTTGAAATATTAATAAATACAGTAATAACATAATAAAATCTGATTTGAACAATAGAAATAATCTAAGAAAATACAGCTTTGACTAGTATCAGTTCAAACACACAACTGTGTAAAAGAAATGATTAGCTACACAGACTATTTTTTAATTGTGCGCTTATAAAGCTATGCCTCTGAATATATAGACTATAATTGAATTTTTTAGTGAATATTAAGATCTGTTCCCGTTTAAAAACACAAAGCATTGCAGTTAACACTGTACAAAGAATTGTCTTTTGAATACGTGAGGGTATGTCTTAACATTATCAGTATCTTTTTTATTTTATTTGGTTTTTTCCTCTTCGTCGCCCTTTGACCTGGCCACTGTAAGAAATATGTCTTCCAGAGAAGCTTCGCTGATGGAGTAGTCCTCTATCAGATGCGGGTTTCTCGTTTTAATCTGTTCTACTTCCTTGAACATCACACTCCATTTTTTACATTTGTCCCCGATGTACAAATGCAGCAAGCCCTGGAATGTGGCGAAAAGGCAGTTAAAAACAAAAACAGTGTTAGGTTACACAATTTTTAAATAAAATTTCAGCGAAATTTAAAAAAATAACTTACAGAATGTTCATCCTTCACAGTCCCATTATATTTTTTCGTAAAATAGTCCTTCAATTCCTCAATGTTGTTAAATTTATTATTTGCTATTAGAGCTCTCCTATCATTATATTGTGTAGTACTACAACTGCTACTTTGAAGAGGGTTCTCCTCGGCGGATAAATTCTTTTGATCATTATTTATTAATTTTAATTTAACGTTAAATCCGCCGTGATCCTTCTTCAATTCGCTTATGGTGCCTTCCTTCTCGAATCGGCCGTCTTTCATGATCTTCAAACTAAAATTTTTTTTTTACTCTATAGGTTACTCTATAGTCTATAGCAAGGGTCGGCAAGTAATTTTAGATGGTGTCCGGATACTTTTGAAAATTTTTAACGGGGTCCAGAAAAGAAATTCATATTTCTTACAAATTTTTTATTTTAATTTGGACTCAAATTTAATATGCTTACTAACCATTAAGAACTCAAAACACTCACACAAAATGATAAGGTTGGCACTCAAACGTAAAAAAAACATTTTTTAAATAATTTATGTAAGTAATTTACACCTTCAAAAAATATTTGGCGGTCCAGTATTTTACCTTCCACGGTCCGGACCTGGACCGCGGTCTGCCAGTTGCCGACCCCTGGTCTATAGGTTTATTAAAAATCAGAAAGGCTTGTTTTCCAACTTTTTAACTAAACCACAAAATGAAAATATCTTAAAAATATGAGAAGTGAAAAGTTCAAATTCAAAAGTTTTTAGAATGTTGCCTGTTCAGTGGCAATAAGCACGCCAGTGTTGTTAGATTCTTCCGCTAGACTAAAAGACGTAAATAAGACTAACAGTCGTAACAGTGTGAATTAAAAACTAACATAAAATTATGATTATGAAAACTAAATTACAAAAGTTATTTCAGTAAACACCTTAACATCCATTAAAATGTTGAGTTCCTAATTTGTTCGTTTGTTCCAACTCGAAAAACTCGGTAAAAATCGCTAACAGTTATGTCACTCCATTTACCAAATTTTTCACTTATGATGTCGCACGCAAAATAAAATTTCGAAACCAAAATAAGGAAAAAAAATTACAGTTGAAATTAACTAATTCCCACAATAAAATATATAAAAAAATATATATTCCATTCTTTATTTAAATCTATAGAAGATAGTACAGTCATTGAAGCTTTTCATCTCCGAATTCTTTGAAACTGAACCGATCGACTTGAAATTTGGCAGATAGTTAGAGAAAAGGTCAATGAACATTAGTGACATTGTGCCGATTGACGCTTCCACCCAGTTGGGGGTGGAAATTTTTTTTCAAAAATAACGCTGGAAATCGATAGAAAATCAAATTTTGAGCAAAAAATATTCGATGAATTTTTTCGAGAAATCGATAGTTTTTTAGTTATTCACTATTGAAAATTTGGAATTTTGAGTGAAAAAAAAACAAAGTATTTTTCGCGAATAACTCAAAAACTACGCATTTTATTAGAAAAAGTGTATAATGAACAAAAATGTAGCTTATAAACTTATAAATATGCAAAGAAAATCGTTTTTTAAAAAGTGTTGTACGTCCTATACAAAGCGAAATATGGTTAGTGGAAGGGGACTTGTTTTGGGGGGAATACTTGAATCGATGTAGGTATTCAACGTCAAATAATGGAAAAAGGATTAATTTTACGTGTATAACGCTCTAGAAGTTTTTTGTAGTACTCAAAAGAGACCTTCAAAATGAGCACACTTATAAAAGTTAATTAGAGCAAAATTGAAGGAGTTATCATCAAAAAAACAGATGGGTTGCTCATATTTTTTAAGGAAAAATGAGCAGTAAACGCTTTCCATCAGAATTAAAATTAATCGTAGACCCTTTACAATTAGTTTTGTTTTAGTGTTTTTTATACGATCCTGAAGGTTTAGAATGCGTATTTTTTTAATAATGTACGGTAAAAGTTGAAAACGTATTTTTCATTATTCAAAAAAAATTGCCTTATTTATATAATAACTCTGAAACTATGAAAGATAAGTAAAAATGATAGACAACAAAAATGTAGCTTTTTTTCAACAACTATTTTGCTTTTTTTTATTCCTATAGCATAAAAAATAAAGGAGATATCGCCGCTTGAAGTATCCATTTTAGTAAAAAAAACAACCTGTCTCGAGCCCTTCGATCCTTTCCCTTTAAAAAACTAAGGACTTAAAAGGTTTTATATGCAAACGATCTTACAGCTCTTGAAATTATCTTTAAAATGCTTTTTTGTAGGATACTATTGCTTCAAAATTAACCGAGTTATGTTTCAAAAACCAATGACATTTGTTCGGAGCAAAATAGGATTTCTCATTTTTATATATTATTTTATACAAGTAAAATAAGTAAAAAAAAATTAGTGTGATTATTTATACCTATGCAGGGCAGCAATTTTTTTTATGATTGATTAAGTACATTTAAAAATCGATTATAATAAAAATATTTTACATTTACATTAATATTGGTAAAAGGGTAGTTTATAAGAGTTGAAAATGGCAAAAGTAAAATATTCTTTCATAAACAATATAAGGGAATTATTATTTTAAATTATTGCACAATTATAGCATTCCAAGATTTTTTATCATTTTTTTAGCACAGGGGTGATTTATAAGGGTTGAAAAGTGTTATGAGATACAAATTCTTTCATAAGCAATGAGAGAATTTTTATTTTAAATAATTGCACCGTTAAAGCATTGCCAGCTTTTAAAAAGCAAATTTTTATCATTTTTGTCAATACAGGGGTGGTTTTTAGGGGTTGAAAGGGAAAAATTCTTTTATTAGCTATAAGGTAACTTTTATTTTAAATAATTGTACGATTTAATGATTACAAATCTTTAAAAATTAATTTGTTATCATTATTTTTTACATAGGGGCAGTGCTTAAGGGTTAAATAAAGGGTCGAAAGATGAAATATATCATAAAACATGTTCGAGAACATGGAACATTATGTAATCTTTGTGCTGGAACAAGATTTTTCTCAATAAAATGCTTAAAACTTGATTTTTTCAATTTTTTTCACTTAGGGGTAGTTTTTACCCCTAAAAAAACAAAAAGCGTCAATCGGGCTTATGTCACTTTTGAATTTGAACCTGAGATGAGCCTTATTCTAAATTTTCATGCAAATCCATGCAATTTTTTTTTTAACCATTGCAACGAACGAAGTTCTCTCGCTGTGATTAATACTTATGATTCGTTAAAATATGGAATTTTACTCATTAACCTACCTATTACATAATGCCTCACACTCCACCATACTGTGGGAAGTTAAAATAAAGGACAAATCTTTATTCTGTTTGAAGTTCCTTATCAAATTCCAAAAATTCCTGCGGCTTGAAGGATCCACGCCGCTCGTAGGCTCATCGAGCAACACGAATTTCGGGTAACCAATCAGAGCCACGGCTAAACTCAGTTTTCGTTTGTTGCCGCCACTGTAGTGGCCCGAGGGTATGTCGGCATATCGCTCCAGTTCTATTAACAGATAATTGAAAATATGTACCAGTAATACTAAAAAATTAGGTATTTAAATTTGATGGAACCAGTAAAAATCGTTTAAACATCGCAATCGAGAACTTACCAAACAGTTTTAAGAAACTATTAACAATTTCCGAATTATCTACACCACGTAGCTTTGCTATTAAGGTCAATATTTGCCTTCCAGTCAAGACGAAATTTAAAGAATCCATTTGGGGGCAGTAACCGAGGTGCTCTAAATACTGAAAGAAATAAAACAAATTACATGTAGAATTTTCAAGGTCAGTACTATTGCAAAAGTTTAAAACATCTTACAGTCATGTAATATCCGTCATGTTTATTGTATTTTATTATAGTTAGAATAATAGTTAGAAAAAATTAAATGGTGAAACCTTGTTCAAGTTTATGGGGGCTGAGGGTTTGTTTTCATATAAAATTTTTCAATTGAAACTTCCCCTAAAAAGTTACGGCGTCCTTTAGAAGAGGAAAGAAATCTTTTCAACTTTTCCAACTTTTCTCAAAAACACAACAATATCGATACCCACTTCTGTTTGTTTAAAAGACTACAACGTACTGAAATTAGTGGGTTTGACCCCTTCACAATATGAAATATTGCACAAACGACTCACCCACCTTATCCTGACTGATGGTTATCGGTTTCTTGCTCTTATTGCTGATAATTTGTACGGTGCCACTATCGGCGACCTCGTCGCGCGTGAGCATGCGGAACGTCGTGGTTTTACCGGCACCATTAACGCCCAGTATCCCCAAACATTCCTTCTCATTTAGCGTGAAACCAATGTTCTTAACGACCAGCTTCCCCCCGTATGTTTTGCGTAAATCCTTGGCTTCCAAAGAGTTGTAACCGTCATCGTACTCGGAATCGTTCAGGTCTTGGTAGTCGCCAACACCGTCGTGCCGTCCTTTGATATATTTATACCAAAAGTTACAGACCTGATATTGCACCCTGGAGATACACTTTTTAAAGAAGTACATGTCCAGTAAAATGTTCACGATTATATAAATTACGGCACTGTAGAGCATCAGGAGGATGTCTTCTTTTAGCAGCGGCAAATAACTCTCTTTTACTTTACATCCCATTGTAGAATCTTGAAAAATGTAAATTTTTAGATAAATGGCTTCCATATCATTGAAATTTGCGAACTGTTTTTTTTAATATCAAAAATTGTGATATCATAGACACAGATTAATAACTTATTTCTCATTTTTCCTTCCAACTTTTCATTGTATGATCTATTTATACTTTTTAAAACTAATATTTATGGCATGTAATGACAGAAGCGGAAATTTAAAACTCAATTTTTTTTTTGAAGAATGTAGCAAAAAAAATGGTAAAAAAATTGTCCACTGCGTATAAATATGTTCATTCCCTTTCAAAGTTATACCCTGCACAGATATATCTGAACTTACCTGGATTTTGATTTGTCAAGCACTGTTTATAAGCATTATAATTTTCCACGGCTTTTCCAGAAATGATAAATACGGAATGAACTAGACCTGCTTGTGGCAAGACAAGTATAAACAAGATTTTCAAACCATGTCCTAATTTCTCATTATATGTATCTCCTGATAGCATTAATAAATGAAAGGTAACGGCAAGAACAATTCCAAAAAGTACGCCTATTATCACGAATAGAGCAAAACCACCAGAAGCTGATTTTATTCTACCAAACAGGTACAGCAACGGTATATTGGCCGCTCCATATACGGTGAAAATGAAAAGGAGAATCACTGCAAGGAAAAGAATGAATTTATACCACAAAAATTTAATTATACAGGGTGTGGCGTGTATAATCTATAAAAATTAAACTACCTACAGCTTCCTGATGATATTTGTAATAGAAAACTCATATACGAAAAAGTTCTATCTTTGCGTTTTTTTTTTTTGTAAATTAAAGTTCATTTATTCAACGAAAATAAAGGCCGACCCTGTGTTATTTATTAAAAGGTTTGAAAATGTTTTTATGCGACCTGCGATGCAACCTTATAATTTAAGTCGGTGTAATTTAATAATTGTCAAAAAATTTGTGCAGTCAACTGATTTTGTATTTGTATTGAATTCATTATTCACTTAATTATTAAATATTAAGCATCGTCCACCGACCCATCAGTATTAAAAAGTGAAAGATTCCAGACAAAAGTTTTTATTTTGTAATTCCACCAATAGTGACAGTGTAATTTTTATAAAGAAGTAAAAAATAAGAATAATGTGCCGAGTACATTAAAAACGAGATTCTTACTTCATACTTTACTTAATTTTGTAGTTTGTGCACAAACTACTTTTACAATGAACCAAGAAAACAATGCATTTACTATTTCCGAATGTGTCGATATGGTGTTAGTGTATGGTGCAGCCCGAGGAAATGCGCTCGCGGCGACTAGGTTGTACGGACAGGACCATTCCAGATAAAATATTTTGATTCATAATTGAACTTTAATTTACGAAAAACAAAACGCATAACTTGAACTTTTTCGTACAAGACTTTTCTATTACAAATATCGTTAGGAAGATGTAGTTTAATTTTTATAGATTATACACGCCACACCCTGTATACAGAGTGCACGGTTTTATAGGTACAGAGGCCACTAATATAAAAATAAAAAAAACAATTAAGTTAAAATATGTTTTATATCAAATACATCCTAAAAGTGTATTTGGAAACTTACTTCCCCAAAATTACAGATCGCAAGCTTGCTACAATTTTGTTAGGTGCCAGTTTTAAAAAAATTTGTATTAATAATTTTTATTGTTTCAAAACATACTGACATACTGAAGTTATTCTACACGCCTTGGCTTAGCATAATACGTTTTTTTTTATTATTAAAAATCAAGAAGTAGATAAGAAAATAGCTAATTCAATTTTCACATAATTGACAGCAAAAAATTGTAGCCTTCTAAATATAGAACAGATAATCTAGTTTTCTTCAAATAATTTGAAAACTGTTTTTCTTAGAAACTTCAAATTTGGTACACATATTTTTTTATATAAGGGCAATGTAAATATAGAATTTGGTGAGAATACATATACAGGATATTCTCTTTCTAGTGCCTGTGCGCCACTGGCTATCCCGTAACTTTTTTGTATGTACGTCAATGACGACATTATATTGTTAAAAATGAGCACTATTTTAGAAGATTTTTTGCCTCTTACAAAATTTTGATATCGTTTATGGGTTTCGAGTAAAATTTGCATTTTTTACACATTAAATAATATAAAATCAGTTTAAGATAAATAGAACATTCTAGTACGAGGTGCCATATAACAGAGAAACAAATTCATAACAATAATTAAAAGGTTCTGTGTCAAGCTAGCTGTGATTTAATTTTAGCTTACTTTGTTTTTTATTGCAATTTATACTTTTGCTGAACAAACTGATATGTTAGTAGTTTTGGGTTATTGTAAAGGAAATTGTTGTGCTACTGTTCGAACATATGCTGAAAGATTTCCAAATCACAAAACATTTGCTAATGCGGAGAGATGCCTTCGGGAATCAGGACGTTTTTTACCTGTAACATTAAATCGTGGATAATGTATGGTCGGAATTATTCAGCTGGAGGAACAAATTTTGGAAAGGGTCAAAGAAATTCCTCAAGTAAATAAAACGCGTTTAGCGGCAGGGGTTGGCTTTCAAAAAGTTCCTTTAATAGAGTATTAAAAGACCAGTTATTACAGGTTACTGGTATTACAGGATACAGGTAGGTATTACAGGTTATTAAAGGTCTAACAGGTGGATAGGTAGAGGAAATAATGCCCCTTTAAAATGGCCGCCTCGATATCTGGACCTAAACCCTTGTAATTATTTCATTTGGGGAGCGTTAAGGACCACAGCTTAAAATAACTTTTCAGTAAATACATAAAACGAATATGGGAAAGAATACAACATGAAATTAATGTTATGAGAGGGAATGCACAATTATTGGATAATTTCTAATTTTCGAAGAACTAATGTTTGCGTTTAAGAACAAGGAGGTAATTTTGAGCATTTACTATAATATTATTTTAACGTGATTACAAATATCAGTTTATTTAAAATGTTAATGTTAATTTCTTACATTATTAGTTGATATTGTTTATTTAAAATATTAGTGTGGATTTTTATTTTATTGATTGATAATACCAAAAATGTGGTTATTTTTTTTTAATGTGACGTTTTTTCATTATTATTCCTTGCTTTGAGGCTGCTGCTAAATTATTTTTTATAAATCGGAATTTTTGCCTATATTTAATGTATAAAAAATGCGAATTTTACTCAAAATCCATAGCAAGCCACCAAAAAAATCTTCTAAAATAGTGCTTATTTTTAAAAATATAAATTCTGTCGTCATTGGCATACACACAAAAAAGTTACGGGATAGCCAGTAGCGCACAGGCGCTAGAAATGGAACATCCTGTATATGTATTCTCTCCAAATTCTATATTTACCTTGCCCTTATATAAAAAAATAAGTGTACCAAATTTGAAGTTTCTAAGAAAAATAGTTTTCAAATTATTTGAAAAAAATAGGTTATCTATTCTATATCTAGAAGGCTGTATCTCAGTAGGCGTGCACTTTTGTATATAGGTAAGTTAGGCTAAATAGTTTTATTTTCATCCAAGGAACCTGTGGTCAAGCATTGTCCATCCTTTTCAGGGACACCCTGTATATGCAACTTTAAGTATGTATTTAATAAAAATTATTTGAAGTTCATTTGTTTTTCACTTACTACGTTAACGTCGTCTACCCCCCTAAAATTGATACATTCTGTACAATTTCATAGATGGAAACTGCTTAATAATTGTAACTAATAATCTAAATTAATCTAAACTAATTGATTTCATTTGTAAAGAAAGTCAGACAATTTTTTGCTACTTTGCGTTAATAATTTTTTCTATTCCCTTCAGACATTTTGTAAAAATATTCTTAATCTTCACCCCATTTTATCAAGTTACTTTGATTGGATTCTAGCGAATCCTTAATTCCTTTCGCAAAATTATTCTAAATAAAAGTTTTATCGACTTACAGAATTCAGTTCCGCCTATGTAAGATGCCATGAAGAAGGCAATCATCGCTATCACCAAACAAATAATCAGGTACAACACAAAATCGACCAAGTAATTGATCAGCCAGTAAGAGTAAGGCCTCACGCCGCACATGTACTGCACTTGGGTGAATTTCGTAGATAGCTCCATGTGGGGAAATACTATAAAGCTTCCGATGATCAGGAGAAACCCGATGGGCATTAACACGGACCAAAGCAGCGCAACTGTATAAATGGAAAAGTCTGGGGTCCTCGTATAGGTATCGATTAAGGGCCAATTACTAGTCGTAATAGAATATTCGCTTCCTAGGTACACCTTCGCTAGTGCGTTCGTGATTAGATTCAGAGATATCGGAGCGCTGTGGATGGCTATGCTATTATACAGGGCAGTGGCTTGAATATCCTTTCCTGAATGAAATTCTGCGCCGACTACTAGGTGCTCTTTGTAGTACGCTATGTTTTCTATGCCCTTGTTTACGATTTCTGTGAAAAGAGGTTAAACAAATTTAATGTTGGTTATTTCTATGGGTACAAATACCTAACAACTGCTTGGGTATGTCTGCACGATACGGAAAACGAAACGGAATTGAAGCCATGAATTTATTTACAACCAATTAAATAGCAAGTTGCTTTTCGGTTCAACTCTAAAAATGACGGTAATTTCATATCGTGTGGATGCGTTATTAGGTATTCTGTTCTATTATCACATTTTATTGAATTATTTTATAAATAACTCTTTATAGCTAAAAAAAAATACGCCGAGTTCATTTCGTAGAATCGACAAATACAACAGTCACGTCACAGTCTTTCTTCCCAAACCACGCGCGTCAATGTGTCGAGCGTAGCAAGCATTTTACGTGGCCCAACAAAATTAGGTTTACTGTAAAAATGGGGGTCAATCATTGCGGACTATTTTTTATATTGAAGTAAAAGTAAATTTCAGACCTTAATATTAATAAATGAGGTCGTAGCGATTTTTTGGGTAAAAAAAATTCTTGTCTCCTGTTGGCCGTAGGACATTTTTTTACATTCGTGAAAAAATGTCAAATGGCAATAATGCCATTCTGATTAATTTTCAGCAATAAGAAAGAGATCTACATTTTTTGACCTAAAAAAAGAAGTCAAAGTTTTGATAGATTTTTTGTATATTTTTAATTATTTTGCAAAATGCGCACAATTTGTACAGGAAAGTACAACTCTTAGAAAAAATTTTAAGCCCAAGATGGGTCACGCATGGGCATTACTGTATGATTTGTTGAAACAAAAGAATGTCTTTTTTTTCGAAAAACTAAATTTTTGCAAAAACTCAAATATTTTACAATTTTACAAAAATATACTTATTCTACTTGCCAAGGACATATTCCGAAAGTTTCGTAAAAAAAATCTTTTTTCGTTTTAAAGATAAAAATGCGATATTTATGCCGTTTTTTTGCAATAACTAATACATTTGTTTATCGATTGATATCGGGCTGGACTCTAAATTTTTGTTATGAAAAATTCTACAACTTTTGTCTACAACATTTTTTTCTAAAATGTTTAGCTTTTTCTTTAAATGAAAAAATAAACAATTCGATAAACAAAGAAATTTAAATAAAAAATTTAGTTAAATTTGGAACGAATACACTGAATATGAATTTTTCGAGACAAAATGTCCGAATCTGGTTCGGGCAGAGGCAGTACAGCATTGCGGGTCATGAAGGCTTGCAAAAAATGTTATAAAATTTTCAGGGTCTTATTTAAAAAAATGAAGTTGATGGTGGGTTTGGAGAGACGTAACGTTACATATAAAAATTGATTATGCCATTCGATAGAGGGCAAAAACTGGCCATGAGAAAGTGTTCTTCCTTCACCTCAAATAAGGCTGAAATTAAACAAAAACGGATTTTCAAAATTTCGGGTTTTTTTCAAATATTTCGAGAACTAATCATGTTAGCCTTGATTTTTTAGAGGCATAATGTTGGTCCCCTGATTACGCAACTTTGCCCCCATTTAAGCTACTTTGTACCACTTACCGTTTCCGAGATCCCTGTAGTGAGAAGCGAATTTGTAACAGCCTGTATATTTTGACCCAAAAGAAGAAGTAAAAGTTTCGGTAGACTTTTTGCATATTTCCAATCATTTTGCAATACACGCACAATTTGCACAGGAAAATACAACGTTTAGAGAAATTTTTAAGCCCAAGATATATGGGTCACGTAAGGCATTACTGTGTAACACATTGAAATTTGAAAAAAATGTCTTTTTTTCGAAAAACTCAATTTTTGCAAAAAATATAAGAATATTTTGCAATTTTATAAAAATGCACTTATTCTACTTGCAAAGGACTACATATTTTGAAAGTTTCGTAAAAAAATCTTATTTTGTTTTAAAGATGTAGTTTTTAAAAAAATGCGATTTTTTGCCGTTTTTTTTGCAATAACTAATACATTTGTTACACAATTGACATTGGGCTGGGCTCGAAATTTTTGTTATGAAAATTTATTTTGTCTGAAATATTTTTTTCTAAAATGTTTTTTAAATGAAAAAAAATTGTTTTTTGCGAACTTTGGACCATATTGAAAATGAAACCATAACATTCAGTTGGGATAAAGTAGTTCCTTCAATTCTACAGATTTTTTCCTAATTTTTACGTGTCTTTGTTTACTGAACTAAATTCTGGCACATAAAAATCTAATTTGATTGGACTAGTAAGAAAAACACCTCTCCTATATCAAACTTATCACAGGGGGCTGGTATTCCAAAACATTCAGTTTAATTAACCATTTCCGCACAACTACAGACCCCCGATCATATTCACAAGAATATTGTTAAAATTAATTTGTTACTGTTAGTGTTACTGAATGCCCAATGCATTACTTTATACCTGTCACTGTTTCCCAGTAGGTACAAAGCAATACTTTGTGTTAGTAGGCATTGAGCACCATTTAATAATAATAATAATAATAATAATAATTTATTTTCCTCAGAGACATAATATGTATAGGAATAGTCAAATAAAACTTACAAACTAAGACAAAGTAGGTAAAAATTCCAATATGGAATAAAAACATTTTTCCATTAAAAGCTGCTTTAAAGCTTTCTTAAACAAATATTCACTTTTCAGCAATTTTAATTGGTTAGGTAACTTATTAAATAGCCTAGGACCTAAACAGTCGGGAGAGTTGGACGTTATTCTTATTCTAGCAAATGGAACATGTAAATTCATATTTTGTCTCGTATTATGTTTGAGGAGTGCATCATTTAAAACAAATTTACTTTTATTTTTGAAAACATATATGCAGGTCTCAAATATGAACAAACATGGTAAAGGTAAAATTTTAAAATTTTTAAAAATATCCTTACACGAATAATGACTGGGAACTCCTACCATATATCTTAATAATCTCTTCTGTGCTATAAAAACTTGTGTAGAAAATGTAGAATTTCCCCAAAAACAGAGACCATACCTGAGACGAGATGCAACTTGTGCATGATATAAGCAAAGAAGTTGTTCAATATTTAATATCGGCCTTAAATTGCGAAACAAATAAGTAAGAGAGGAAATCTTATTAGTTAATAACTTACAGTGTATTTTCCAATTCAGATTTTTGTCTATGTTCAGCCCTAAAAATTTTATTACCTCAACATCAGTAGTTAAGTCATCATTTCCTAAGGTAAAACCTAACATATCACAATATTTCTGCGAGCTATGGAATCTTATAATATTGGTTTTATTAGTATTAAAATACAAATTATTCTCGGAGAACCATTTTGTTAGATCTTTTAATAAGATATTACAATTTGTCTCCAAATCCTTATCGTTTGTGTTCGATGTAATTAAAGATGTGTCATCCGCATACATGGTAAAATTTGTGCTTGGTGAGATAGCATGTAAATCATTGACATATATTAAAAACAGCACCGGTCCTAGAATCGAACCTTGCGGTACACCCATCTTTACAGGATACTGCACCGAACAAATGTTTTCTACTGAGACATATTGAGTTCTGTTCTCCACGAAAGTTTGCAACCAATTAAGAGGCAAGCCTCTAATACCACAAGAAAAAAGCTTATATTTCAGCCTCTGATGGTCGACACAATCGAATGCCTTACTTAGATCGCAGAAGATTCCAACCGGACATTCGCCAAGCTCTATGAAATTATAAACCTTTTCCAAAAAAGCATGGATTGCTGTGCCTGTAGACATACCACTACGAAACCCGTGTTGGTTCTTGGTTAAAATATTAAATTTATCCAAAAAAGGCATTAGTCGTTCCAAAAAACAATATTCAAATACTTTTGAAAATGTGGCAGGACCTGTTACAGGTCTGTAATTATTCATATTATTTGTATCGCCACTTTTATAAATAGGTACAACCCTCCCAGTTTTCAGAGAGTCTGGAAATGCGCCACACACGAAGGATAAGTTAACGAGATACGTAATTGGATCTATAATACAATCAATAACTCTTTTTATTAGAAAAGTTGGTATATCATCAGAACCTGATGATTTTTTGTTTTTTAATTTTCTTTTCAGTAAAGTCAGAATTTCAGTCGGAGTAAATGGATGTAAATACATACTGCAACGATTTTTTGTATAAATATTATTAATATTCAAATTGTCTGCCCTATTAGGTATAAGGTCAACTACTCTCTGAGGGGCGCTTATAAAAAAGTCATTGAACAATGAAGCCACTATCGCAGGTTCAATATAAGAAATTCCATCCACAGTTAACTGGATACTATTATGCGTTTTATTTTTATTACTTAATTCTGACATTACTTTCCATGCAGACCGCGTCTGATTATCTGATAACATTATTTTATTCTGATAATAAACTTTTTTAGTTTGTTCAACCAACTGCTGGTGTTTAATTTTTTCTTTTTTATATGTAGGGATTAACTCGGGAAAATTCTTTCGTAGGTTGTAAATATTTTTTAACTTTACACTAGACAATCGAACCTTATCATCTACCCATTTTTTATCATATGCTGCATTATAATATTTACGATACGGAAAATAAATGTTAAAATAATACAAAAACACGTTATTAAAATAGGTAAATGCGGCATTAATATGTGTATAACTATAAAGTTCGTGCCAACTTTCACTGGAAATGGCTGTCATAAATTCTATTATATTTGTCTCACTAAAATTTCTTTTAAAAAATGAATCATTCCTTGCAACCTTTTTTAATTCTCTCATACCTAAATCACAAAGCACTGTTCTATGATCCGATATTATATTATCAAATACACAACAAGGTCCCTTAAATTTAAAATTTATAAAAATATGGTCTATCGTACTCAGGTTGGTCCCCGTCACTCGTGTAGGCCATTTTACAAGACCAACCAAATTAAAACATTCTAATAAATTACATAATAAAATAAATTCCTTTGAGTTACCAAAGGAGTCCATATTAAAATCACCCGATAAAATAATTCGAGTATCGTTTTTACTTACTACATTTAGTACATCAGACAATCTGTCAAAAAACAATTTTACATTGCCTGAAGGCGATCTGTAACAATTTAACAAAACAGTTTTGGTATTGTTGTACCTCCAATATAAAGCACATATTTCAAAATCTTTTTCTACACAATAATTATGAAGGTCTATGAGTGCAACATCAATATTATTTTTAACAAAAATTGCAACTCCCCCACCATTATGAATAGATCTGCAAAAATAACTAGCCAACTTAAATCCACTGATGTGTAAAGCATGTACAGATTCCGAACTTCCCCAAATTTCAGTGAAACAAAGAAATGATAAGTTTGCATAATCACTTATATCTACATAGAGATCGTCAATTTTATTTACATTTAAACTCTGAGCATTTAACAACAAAATTTCAGGCTCAAAACTCACATTACGTCTTCCTTTCTCCTCTTGCGCATCACAAAAAACCGTTGAATACAAGCCCCCTTTGGCATTTAAAATAACATACTTTATAGGATATATTTCACCCGACACTCAATACAGATTCTTGTATGAGATTTATACCTTTCTGAACATCGTCAACTTCCACAGCTCTTCCATCGTTAGCTTCAACCAAGGAACGGAAGGCCCTTTTCATTCTATCGATTAATTGGTTGTGCTTTGTACCATTGTAGAAGACGGTAGTGTGTTTGTAAGTACTTAATTGTAACTTCAATAACGGACTATCCCCCTCAGAGTCAGTATTAGTACCATCGCATAAGTAGATAGTTAATACGATAATGATTAATGCTAAAATTGCCTGAAAGATGAAATAAATAATAAATAAAAAACAAAATAAACTACGATGTGATACTTACGGGTATAAGATATGACCAGACTTTCTTTCTATAAAACTGTAGCTTTTTTAATATCAGTGCATTAGTTCTCATTACACACAGTCTGATGCTGCTAGCAGTCGTATTAATTTCATCTGGAACTGGTGAAAATATCAGTGCACTTACGTATGACTATTAAAGAAATAGAAATTGGTTTTTAAGTTGTTTTATGAGTATGGTGGTTGATATATCTCAGGAAATGTGTTTTCTTAAAAACAACTAGAGATGATTAAATCCTGAAAATGATGCTACATTTTGCTCAAATGTATGCTCAAAATTTGTAAATAATTGTGTTCTGTGAGCTATACAGTGTGGACCATTTTGGTGATGCATGTATGGACATCTTGCAAACTATGAGAGATAGGAAAATGGTTAAACGGAGAAGTATTAGACAGTTCTGCTACTAACTTAATGGCGTTTGCAGATCGGTCCTAGCTCTTCAGGTTTTTGAGTTATTTTGAAAAAAGTGAATGTGGCGTTTTCGAAAATCGTCTGTAACTTTTTTATTTAGAGGAATTTTTTAAATCTGAAAACACTTTCTCAGCAAGTTTTTTTCAAGGAATTTTATTATATATTTCGATTTTCATTGCAACGTTTCGGTTGCGAGAAACCATCATCATTTTTATTTTTCCTTACAGGCGCCATATTGAATTTTAAGTCGTGCAAACAGAGTATTTTTTTGGCCTTTTAATGATATAATATAGTAGTAGTAGTAAAGGGGCGGCCTCAGCCTGGCAATTAGGCCACAAGTGGGCCCTTTTTGCCTACCCCGCCGTCCCATCACCTGACCACTCTCTGCCTCTGACCCTCCTCGAACCTACCCGACGCCCTAATGAACGCCAGGATTTTGGTCCATGGAAGGTCTCTCACCTCAACCCCTTGCAGCTCTTCAGCACCAAAGACTTTATGTCTTATTCTCCCAAAGGCTGCACACTGTCCCAGAAGGTGGACAGGGGTGTCCTCCCCTTCGCCACATTTCGGGCATAGAGGGTCCTCCTCAATTCCTATTAAGCTTAAATGCCTCCTAAGTCTGCAGTGGCCTGTCAGAACCCCCACCATTTGGTTTAGGGCTCTTCGACTGAGGCTCAGCAGCCATCTTGTCTTGGATTTGCTAGGTCCATGTATAAAACTATGGGCCTGCCTGCATCCTCTATTTCTCCTCCAATCCAGACCTAAAGTTTGATAGGCCCACTTATTGAGGGCCCCATTAATGCTGCCTCGTGTGATACCTAAGATTGGTTCAGGTCCCTGTCCAGGTCCCCTGGACCCAAGACGAGCTAATTGATCCGCCCTCTCGTTACCAGGGATGCCCCTATGGCCTGGGACCCAAACCAACTCTACTTCTTTTCGTCTGGCCAAAGACTCTAGAGCGTCTCCACATTCTTGGACAAGGGCAGACCTAGTCCTCGGGGAGCTAACCGCTCTGAGCGCGGCCTGACTGTCGGAGCAGATAAAAATCTTCTCCTCTGCACAATTCCTTACCTCCTCCTTGCTTGCTACCATCAAAATAGCAAAAACCTCAGCCTGGAAGACTGTAGCATACATACCCAGTGAAAAGCTTTCCTGGATGCCGCTGCCTTCCAGATAAATTCCTGCTCCTGAAAACTCGTCTTCTACCCGAGATCCATCAGTATAGCACACTAGGGATCCCGGGGAGAACATATCACCTTCCTGCTTCCACTGCTCTCTCGAGGGGAAAGTGGTGACATACTTCCTTCCTAACCTAAGCCGGTCCTCTGCTTCCGTAACCCTCATGGCGGATATTGGGATGTCCCTCTCCGCCCTGAGGGCCACGGAAGCATGACCCTCAGTGCGTCCTTTAGCTCTCCAACCACCGGCGTCCCTTATCCTAAGGTATGCCGCCATCGCCTCCCTCATAATCCATGTAGGAAGGGTCGGCAGCCCCAGAAGGACCTCTAACGCGGCAGTTGGGGTCGTCCTCATTGCCCCTGTAATACCTAAGCAGGCAAGTCTCTGGATTCTCACCAACTTCCTGGCTACCGTCACCCGGTCCACACACGGCCACCAGACCAAGGCCCCATACTGTAGCCTCGGCCTAACCACCGCCGTGTACACCCAGTGAAGCACCTTTGGATTGAGTCCCCAGTTTTTGCCAACTACCTTCCTTAACTGCCAGAGGGTTGCCACTGATTTCCGGGTAATCCTCTCAACCTGTGGCCCCCACGACAGTTTGCTGTCCAAGATTACCCCCAAGTATTTGACTTCCCTGACCAAAGTCAGGGGCCTCCCATACATGGTTGGAGCCCTGAAATCACCTATCTTCCTTCTCCTTGTAAATAGGATCATCTCAGTCTTCTTTGAGTTGACTGAGAGCCCCATCTCCTCGCACCACCTCTCTATGATCCTACAGGCTCCCTGCATTCTGTCGCATACCACATCCAAAAACCGGCCCGCGACTAGAACCACGCCATCATCGGCGTAAGCCTGGGCATCACTATATCCCTCCGAGGTTAGGCGTTCCAGGAGACCGTCCATTACTAGGCACCATAGAAGCGGGGAGAGGCAGCTGCCTTGAGGGCATCCCCCTCCCACTCCCAGGTCCCTGCGACAGTCCCCCATGACTGCACTAACCTTCCTTTCCTTGATGATATAATATAAGTAAGAAAACATTTCAAAAACAACCTCAAAAGTCAATATTTTAAAGATTATTTATTATTTATTATATAAGGAAATTAACTGGAAATTTTGGAAGAAAGAGCTCGACGAGTATTTGCAAATATTTATAGGAATACCAATCAGCGACAAATAATATTTTACAAAGGTGCCTTTCTATTACCTAATATTGTTGGTGATATTGGATTGCTGTTGAAATAATCTATTATTGGATTGTCCCAGTTATCATCTCTTTCATAGTTCTTGGCACGTAGCTTTCCAAAACTTCCAAATATTCTCAAATTTGTAAGAAATTTTGAAAAATGCATTTCATTGGGTGGTTGTCTTTCGGAATATCTTCCAATATAACTGTTTAAAGCCACAGATGCTTTTTTATTATTTTTAATAAAGCACTTCAACATATCACGTTTTTCTTCATTGGATACTGGAATAACGCAAAGCGTAATTTTTTCACTCAATGCCATGACATTAATGATAAGCTTTTACAAAAATATGCGATGTTGCCAAAAATATCAAAATATTGATTTTTGAGGTTGTTTTTGAAATTTTTTCTTAATTGTATTATATCGATTTGCTCAGATTAAATTTCAAAATGGCACCCATAAGAAAAAAGAAAGTTGATGATGGTTTCTCATAACCGAAATGTCGCAATGAAAATCTAAATATACAGTGAAATTCCTCGAAAAAACTTGCTGTGAAAAAGTGTTTTTAGATTTTAATAATTCCTCTAAATAAAAAAGTTTTATGACACTAAAAGTGTATAGTTCAGTTCATTTTGAAGAGAAATGATCAAATATACACTTTTCTAACTTGATCTGTTTTTAGAGACAGTAACCTTAAATAGTTGTTCCAAGAAAAAAAAGAAATTTTTTATCATTTTCAGAATTTAATTATAATTAGGTGTTTTCAAGAAAAACATCTTTTCCAAGACACCCTGTATGTATTAAAACAAGGGAAAAAAAGGGAAATGATCAATTTTGACATAATCAACTATTTTAATTTAATCACATGCTTATAAAATAAATAAACGAAAAACAAAAATTTTCAACTTTAACAATAATAAAAATGTGGCAGTTGCAAACATAAATTAATTTGTTGGATTGAATTTAGTTTAATTTACCTGGAATATCCAGTAGTGCTGCAAAAGACAATGACAATAGTAACTTCATTACACTTTAAATAAAATGTATTCTTGTAGACGCTTGTACTTTTTTAATCAAGTGTAAATAAGATTAAAATTATTTCTATATGTATATTATTCGATATTAATTTAAAAAAGTTTGACGTATTAACACTTGTAAAGAATTCAAACGGAATGTCGAATGAAGTAGGAAAAGAAACAAATCATAAATACCTTGTATGTCCGCTGCAGGGATATTATTAGTGTCGGTGTCACTTTTCAATTTAACCCTGAAACAAAATCTTGTTTCAAAATCCTTCATCACTATTAATAAACAACATTCCTTACTTCAAAAACACGTCCTCCAAAGTGGTTACCGTAACGGATATATTCTCAATTTGTAATACCTCTTTGTTGTCTTCCAGGAACGTTAGCAAATCAGCGATTCTTGAGTTATCTTCCAGCGGCAACAGAAACACCATATTATTTCCGTTGGATTCCTTCAATTCGGCAGAATCTATGTGTTTAATAACATCGTTCTCGATAATGCTCCTTTCCTTCGTAGTGGCGCTGTCCTTGACAATCAGAGATAAGTGGTAACCGGTATCTGATTGAGAAAATTTCCTTTTAATTCAAACACTTATAGACACTAACGTATAAAAAGCTTTACCGAATGTTTTTTTTAAGTACAGCGGTGTTCCGTAACATTGCAGCCTGCCGTTGGCCATGATGGCGATCCAATCTCCGAGAGCGTCCGCCTCCTCCATAAAATGGGTGGTGATTAAGATCGTTTTCTCACCCCTCCAAGCTAATAGCAAGTCCCATAGCTCCCGTCTCGATTCCGGATCCATGCCGGAAGTGGGCTCGTCCAGTATCAGGATCTAAAAAAAAAATAAGTGAAAATAAAAACATTCCTGAAGTATACAGGCTGTTACAAATTCGCTTCTCACTACAGGGATCTCAGAAATGGTAAGAGGTACAAAGAAATCTAAATAAAAAATTTAGATAAATTTGGAACGGATACACTGAAGATGAATTTTTCGAGACAAAACGTCTGAATCTGGTTCGGGCTGAGGCAGTACAATATTGAGGATCATGAAGGCTTGCAAAAAATGTAATAAAATTTCTAGGGTCGTATTTAAAATAATGAAGTTGATGATGGTCCTGGAGAGACAAAACGTTACATACAAAAATTGATTATGCCATTCGATAGAGGGCAAAAAGTGGCCACAAGAAAGTGCTGTTCTTTTTTCAATATCACCTCAAACAAGGCTGAAATGAAACAAAAACGGATTTCCAAAATTTCGTTTTTTTTTCAAATATTTCAAAAATTAATCACGTTAGCCTTGATTTTTTAGAGGCATAACGTTGGTCCCCTGATTACACTCCCCATTTAAGCTACTTCGTACCTCTTACCGTTTCCAAGATCCCTGTAGTGAGAAGCGAATTTGTAACAACCTGTATAGGTAACTATTATGTTATGTATGTTACATGTGTCAATAGTTTATTTTTTTCAAATTCCATCATAAAAACTTTATTCCTTTTTTTAGTAATTTTCGTACCCCGCCGCTGGAGAAGCTAGCCAAGCGTTTCAGTCGCAGCGAATGCACAATTCCACACCATTTGCCGCAAGTTATTTTTGATGATTGAATGTTTGCCACACAAACGGTACTTAACAAATAACCTAGCAAAAGACTCAAGCAGTAATCAATAATGATAAATGAAATGCACACAAATAAATAACCTGTTGATTGTCACAGTTAGATGCGGAACAACAACTGATCCTTCGTCACCATTGACCCGCACTATCTCCCTTTACATGCACTGTAGGTTGCCTACAATTCGTGTAGTTGTAATACATGAATATTACAGTGGCGGGGTACACAAGTATTAAAGTGCATTTTAAAAAACTAACTATAACTCGACTATTTATTTCATTAAAAAAAAAGAAAGATTCGTATTCAGGGGAACAGTTACCTTCTAAAAAACTTAAAGTTCCACCCTGTATATATTATTTTAGTATTATTTCTTATTTAATAGATAAGTAAAAATTTTTGAAATCACTGACTGCAAATTTAATTTCAGGCTTGCACATTTTTTTTTACCTCAGATCCTCCGATGATGGCCATCCCCAGGCACAGCTTCCTCTTCATCCCTCCGGAGAGCGTGCAGGCCATGGCATCCTTTTTGTCAGACAAGTGTAACTTTTTCAACAGTTGCATCATTTCTATTTCAGCTTCTTCCGCCGTTTTGCCCTTTAACTAAAATAAAAACTATATTCTACAAAATATTAGTCACTGAAATTATCATCAGAAACATTTTTATTACAGTACTGTCCCACCTTTGCGAAAAACAGTAAGTGTTCACCAACCGTTAAGTCGGTAAACAGAAGATTGTGCTGAGGGCACAAGCCGAGGGACTTTCTTATTTCGTCCATGTTGTTCCTTATGTTTTTACCATTCATTTTTATGCTCCCCGATGTCATGTGTAGCATTCCTAAACATATAGAATGTCGATATATTTATAGTTGAATGTTAGCCTCTCCCTTACGAACCTGTAATTATAGACATTGTAGTGGACTTTCCTGCCCCATTATGGCCAAGAAGTACTGTTATTTGGTTTTTGTAAATATTTAAAGACAAATTATTGACGGCCAATTTGGGACCATAGCGTTTCACCAAATCTTGAATTTCTATACCTTTAATTAGGCCTCTACCTTCCTCCATGTAGTCCAAGCAGAGTGGTTCCGTTCCCTGTTGTCCTTCAACGGCGGCTGGTCGTTTTATCAACTACAAATTCCGTTACACTCAAAACACAATAATTATTAATCCTATGATGTAATATTATTTTTAATTGAGATATTACTCTTTACTTATATAGTGTGTTAGAAGTTTGATTGCCATAATTTTAGTAGTCAACAGTATGCACAAAAATACAAAAAAAACTTTTGACACTGGCCCATTTTCCAGAAAATTTTCTAGAAAAGTACAGTTAATTAAGGAACGTCAACTAATTTTGTGCAAAGAATACTATAAACTCCAATGTTTATTACTTCTTTGTATTTGTTAATATAAAAATTATAACTCTAATAAACGATATTGTTAAATGCATAATTAGTCATAATCAATGGTATAAATAGGGACGAGATGGATTTTATGGGAGAGTCGCCATATAATATTTTCATTCGTAAATTTGACCAGTTATCTAAATATTACTTATCCCTTCACAAAAAATGACTTACATGCACTAAGAAGTAAATCGGAAAGAAAATAGATTTTCGAACTCCGTATTTTCCCGGATTCACATCGTCCATGTACAACGTAAAAACCATGTAAACAACCGTATCTATTATCAACATCATAAAAACGTTTAACATTGTAACATCTTCGGTGCCGCCACTGCTAGCTTTATAGAAATTATTCCACTGCAATCCCAGTTCTATAAAAAAAGAATGTTTTGTAACGATATCATTAGAAATAATTTTTATTGATTAGACTCACGTCTCTGCTCATACAGGACAACTGTTACATATCCATAATGCAACGCCATATTTGGGAATAAAATCAGCAGCATGTTCGAAGACCAAGGAAATCTATTACCCATCTTGTCAAGACCAAGACCATACTTGGGTACAAAATAAGACAAAATCCATATCAGAATCCCTGCCACCATCGCAAGGGTTGCTAAAAAAATATTTCATTAAAAATACTGATGTGATTATATCTTACAAAAAAAATAATTCAGATTACTTACGCATGCAAAACAACGAACTGATGGCAAAGCAAAATACTATAGCAGCCATACAATATAATAATAAAAAGACGAATAAGACAGAACCATCTGTGTATTTGATAGGGGAACATTCTCTGTTAAAAATTGGGATTTTCATCAACAATACGATGCCAAATATAGAAAACAGCATGGGAATCAGTCCATGTATGAACCAACCCAGCCAAAGCATCCACGGCTTCATGCCTACCATTTTCATGAGTTCCTGCAAAATATAAACATATGCAGACAATGAAAAAACTGATAATTTTTCGTCTTACCTTGGTTCCCGAATATTTCTCCTCTACGACACGTTTTAGCACAGCAGGAGAAATGAAGATAAAACTAACAAAAGTAAAAATGGGTAGGAAACTCAAAAATATTTCATCGACAATTGTGTCTCTTTGATAGGGGGGATAAGGGAATTCTTGAATCTTTAGGGTTACATTACTGTCTACATTCCTTCTAGATACTTTCTCTATGAAAGACATATCTAGGGCTTTCTGAATTGACAGATAGTCCCTAAAATATGATGTTCCTGAAATTGTAAACATATTATTAAAACTCCGTACCAGTATCAATATTGTTTAAAGAAATAACATCCTTATATTTTACAATTACAGATGAAAACTAAAGAACATATTAGTTGTAATTATAAAATAGAATTGGCCCGTGATGACTGGTGAAAGTAGTCACCTTTTGATAAGGAAGCATTTTTTTATAGGGGATGACTTCGAGGCACTTAGTCCGGGCAAATTAATTTTTTTTTTCAAAAATCGGGCCTACCTTGAATTTATAGACTTAAAATTAAGTAAAAAATACACAGAATAAAAGACTAAATTTGTGTATATGTGGAGGTCGAGCGTAATATTGTTTATAACAAAAGAAAAAAAAATATTGCTCTTTTTTCAGTTTTTCGCTTATATCTCCGAAAATAAGCCTCTAGTCGACATGAGGTATACTTATCGATTTTTTCCTGAGGAAATTTGCTATAAAGATAGGCTTTTGCGAAGGCTCGCAAATTTTTTTTTACATTGCAAAATTAGCGGTGAAAAAAAAATGTGCAAAATTTTCAGCATTAAATAAAAAGAACGAATTTGACTGAAATTGGATTGGAAAAGATAACTGTTGGGACATTCAAGTGACGTGCTCTACAATGTAAACCATTAACTTGAAAAATTCATCGATGTCTAAAATATATTATACATTAAATATTTATTTTACTCGGGACGCTTTTTTTTTAATTCATGTTTTTTAAGCACTATTTGATGCAATTAGCTTAAAATCTGTATATTAAAAAACTGCCGAGATAACGACCCTAGTTATCGTTTTTTTTTTGTTTTTTTGTTAATAACATTTTTATTTTGCAACTTAAAAATCTGAAATTTAAGCAAACGCGTAACTTTTCGATCCCTTTTGCCGAATTTCGATATCTTATTGACTTGGTCAGAAGATAACGCGCTCGCATTTTCGACTATAATTTTACAATAGGTCGCCATTTTGAAATTGAGGGTCCGGATTGCGGGTATTTGTTGAGCACCCCAACAGTTATCTTTTCCAATCCAATTTCAGTCAAATTCGTTCTTTTTATTTAATGCTGAAAATTTTGCACATTTTTTTATCAATGTAAAAAAAATTTGCGAGCTTTCGCAAAAGCATATCCTTGTAGCAAATTGCCTCAGGAACAAAATCGATAAGACCTCAGTCGATTAGAGGTTTATTTTCAGAAATTTAAGCGAAAAACTGAAAAAAGAGCAATTATTTTTTTTTCTTTTACAATATGACGCTCGACCTCTACAAATACACAAATTTAGGCTTTTATTCTGTCTAATAAAATTCGAGGTAGGCCCGATTTTGAAACAAGCATGTGTTTGGTATAATTCGCCCGGATTATCACATAGAGAATTTTTGAGACTGTATAAGGACTACGTACACATTATATGATACTGTCATACCTACTACATTTTGCAAATGTAGTGTAAACTTAGCAACGTTAGCAATTTAACCGTTATTTTCGGAGTTTCTGACAGGTCTTTTTAATTTTAAAATACCTATCATTCATATTCGGTGCGATTTAATGCTGAACTTTTCAGCGCCATCTATCAGTTCGTGAATAGTTCAGTTTTTGTACTTGTAATTTTAATTATACTGAAACATTCATTGTATTGAGCAATGACTTTTACAGTATATATTTTATATCTTTGGATAAATTAAATCGCATCCTTCCAACCGAACCTCGTTTTTTGAATAGATTTACATTTTTATCATTTGAGTTCCAAGGTTGTGGAATAATCTAAATAAATGCGGTAAAATTTGAATTAAAATTTTACCTAAACAATTTCCTTACCTCGTCCAGGATATACTTCATAAGAGCTGAAATAAAGTTGATCTGTGTCTGAATAGTAAATGTTTTTCATTCGAATTGTGTAATCCAGCTTTTCTTCACTTCCATGGAAAATTATAGCAGCACTAATAATATTGTTATTATTGGAATTTTGGAAATGCAGTAAAGAGTCACTGGATGGAAATCCTTTAATACCTATAAAATGAAAATTGAATGTTGCTGAAATACCTAGTTCTTTTCTGAATTACTTACTGTTATTCGCCATTTGGAATTTAACTTGGACATTTTTCATTATATCTTGGTAAAATTTAGTGTCGGGTGCATAACAAAATATTCCGGATACATAGCCGTATTTTACAGTTTGTGGATTAGTGTACCGTGCATCCTGCATTTCCGATTGACGTATTTCGCAAAATTGACTCAGTGTATAAGCAATTAATAAAAATAATAAAATAGGCAATACGGATTCGATGATGGTCAAAAACCAGTGTCTTTTCCTTATTATTAAGTTTTTCCAAATAACGACTTTCAGTTGTTGGAAAAACATTGTAGGTATATTTATTATTAGTTCAGTGTATTTAAATATAATGGAGAAATCGAACGACTGCGACGAGTAACAAAACTGGCGGATTAATGATTTTCTGTAGAGGATAATATGACGGGATACGAGCTACAAGGCCACAGTTCCAAATAAAAAAATATACACGACGTCACAACGGATCACAACACATATAATGGGCTAACACAGACCACCTAGACTGGCCGTATCTAATTCCAATGCACGGGTACCAGTGAATGCAAAATCCGGGGAAGTGGAGTGAGGAAGGCAATCTGATCGCGCGCATCTTTAAGCAGATCCGGATTAAGTAATATTTTTATTACATATTAAACATTGTATTGCATCTTATGACAAATATTCAATTTAAAGTTTGTAATTATTCAGAAAATAATATATTTTAGTGTCATATTAAGTAAAACTACAAAATAATTTAAATATATTTATTATCCTCCAAATAATATTAATTTATTTAATATTTGCCTTTTCGTAGATTTTACCGAATTAAATAATTTGACTTCATGATTTATTCGTACATCGATATACTTTTCACATTCAGCCCTTACAAGTTCTATTAAATGATTACAATTGTTAGGCAAATTATCAAATTGATGTTCATCAAATTTTCAAATATGTTCACATTCAGAAAGTTTTTTAATACATGATAAACAATTTTATTTTTCTGTAGCCTAGGTGTTCTGCTTTCATCATTATTTAAAAATTTTATTAATTTTTCCGTTTCTTAGCATATTACTACGACATCTCGAGATGGATACGTCAAACAACCACGATCTTTAATAAAAATTAATTGACTACGAATACTGAATCTAAAATTAGTTTTTTAATTGAAAAAAATATTTCATTAATTTTCAGCTATCTCGAAATGATGGGAATTGGTAAAATTTCATAAAAATTTAAGACTCGCATAAAGTAAATAATTACTAAAAATATTTTACAGTAATTCATTGATTATTTTATAATAACAATATCACGTTGATCACTACACTATGTGGGCGAACAAAATTATAAAGCTAACCCTGGAAACTTGTGACGTCGACCGAAAAATGGTGTACATATTTACCTTTTATATATTCCTTTTTTTTACTTACCTAAAGAAGGAAACTTTTCGCTTCACTTCACCAACTCGATCACTTGTATTTATACAATGTTTTACAATACACTTGCCCATGATAAAACGTCTAATTATCGAAATCACAGCGATGCGTACACGTCAAATCTTAAGACACGACTGAGCGCTGGGCTCCAAATCAGCTCCAAAGTGTTTTCACCAAAGTCGCTCTATAAGCCAGTCTAGGTGGTGGTTGAGGAAATTCTGCGTTCTACTAGTTTTTTTTTTTAAATAAAAAAATAGTAGTCACCCTACTACTACATTCAAAGATAGCAACAACCATAATTTCATGTAACTTCATGCTACTTACGCATACTTAGCTATTTACTGCTAGATTGTACCATTGAGCTTACAAGTTGCACTAATCGTAGCTTTAAATCTACTGATTTGTACGTCACTTTTTTGGAAAGTTTCTGGTAACTGGTGAACTCTAGCTCAAACATTAAGGATCACCTGACTGCCGCTAGGTGTTGCTAGAAAATGTAGCGGTGTATTGGTATTGTAAGCTGTAATATTGGTAAAAAATATCGAGTATCTGAATTAAAAAAAAACGGTACTCCCATGAAGGTTCTTATAATATGCGTGGAAATATATAAATAATTCACGTAATAAAGAAGTTTTTCAGCAGCGAAGAACAGCTGGTCTATACAACAGAGCACGACAACCAGTCTCACGTGCTTTTAAATCGCACAAAAAAACTCAATATGGATTGTGGCCGCTACAGATTTTTCGGGCAAACGTTGATAATCTACGGATTTTTGGTCAAACAGCCACACATGTTTACATTCCAAATTTGTCATCACTAGAGTCTAGAAATCAGTAAACATGATTTGGTTTTGACATTAGAAATCATAGGTGGGTATGGGGAAAGAAATTTTTCTAACGCAAGGGTCGGATTCCATTAGAAAGAGTATAATTTTCAAAAATTAAACGTTTACAAAAATATACATACAACAGATACATTTCCTATTTTCACATTATTATACGGGGTGATCCAAGTAAAATTTACCACTTGTAAAGTATCAGAATTAAAAAAAAAAACAGAAAATCTCTGATACGTCGATTTTCTTTTCATTCAAACAAAAATTTAAAAAGTTGTATGCCGTCGTGAGCAGAATTGAAAAAACTTTAAAATGAGGTGTTACTCAACATAGGGTGCTATTTAAAGTTTAAGGGTACTTTATGCCCCTGCCTAAGGGGTAGCTTCTAAGGTACCAAAACTTACACCATCACGTCTTTGAAACGAAAATCAACGTTTCTGTTTTTTTTTTAATTCCGATATTTTCTAGATGGGACGTTTTAATTGGAACACCCTGTATAGGATTTTTCCAGCATTCCGACCAATATCAAAAATGTTTGCCGATACACAAACTTGTATCATACTAAACCGATCGAGATTCCTAAATCGGTACTAAAATGGTAAAAAACAGTTGACAATTTTTCCAGATTTATTTTAATATTCAATTTGTTAACTTCGCTCAACCCCCAACCACCATCTTCAGGCAAGAACAAATCGTAAGTAAATTAGAGCATATCCTGCCACCTTAGCGGCATTCGAGGTTCAATTCCCAAGAAAAACAGAAAACGTAAGTCTTACCATGGATACGGGGTGTGCGGGGATATGACAGAACTATACTGTCTTGTTCTTTGAAGGGAATAAAAAAATTCAAACCTCGGTAATATTAAATTTGTATACTTTTATTAGATATAAATTATTTACACAGTACGCCATAAAAACTATAACAAAATTATAAGTAATTTCCATTTTTCCATTATCTTATGAAATCGCTCAACTGACATGGCGAAATTATAAAACCTACAATACCGATATTTCAGTTAGGGACTACCCCGATTTAGACACAAAAAGTGGAACTTATGTCAGTTCGAAGGCTAAAAGTGGAGATAGGATGAAGAATCGAGATTACGTTATTCTTGACATAAAATGTCTGAATTGCACTAATCGTCACTAAGAACTATTCTGATTCCGACGTAAGTTAGAGTTATCAAATAAGAAGTTAAGAGTGGGTACGGATGTAACTGTATATTTGACGAGCACGCATCACCAATTGTTTTGTGCGGGTCTGCACCATTGGTTGTAAAAGCGATGCTGTCGCATGCACAACTTTCCGTATCCACCACCATCAACGCCAATTTATTATTTCCTTAATTTTGCATCACATACTTGATTAGTTTCTCTTATTCCACAAATAATTTCCCCACTTTTAATCTTGGAACTGGTACAATCACGAGTTTTAATCTCACGGGTCGCATAATCTCAACTTTTTTTGTTGGGATGGAAATAATCGTGATTTTTTTTTTATGTAATACCCCCAATTTATCACCTCCATATTACTGAAATCACGACTAGTTACTCGATTTTAGTATAATCCCTACTTTAAATACCGAGACTATAAATTATCACTTTACAATGTCCGCTTAGCACTTTTATATTTTAACATAACTAAAATTAGAATATATAGTTTTACGTATTTTGTTATTAATGTGTAAAAAAATTAAAAACATAAAATTAGTACTGGTGCTCCTTTGCTACATAAGTATTTTCCATTACAATTTTTTTTACGCTTCATCCCCCGTTACAAAATATTTTTATTTTATTTCCGTGACTTCCCGGAAGGAATTGGCAATAATCTAATATAAAGGGCGTGGGACCTCATTCGATAACTTTTTGGTAAGGGTATTTGCGGTATTTGCATTGTACTTAGGGTCAATAAAGGGCCATTATTCCCGTGCAAAGGGAAAACTGAATAATTTAGTTGCAAAAGGGTCAACAATTGTTCCGTTGTAGAAAATTTGTTTTACAACAATGGCGGGTTGTGAAAAGTGATGTGGTGATATTTTGAGAGTGAAACATAGAACATACTCTATTTTTTAAAGGACAATTTTTTTGCTGAAAAAATTAAATTTTTCACTTTCCTTCAACATTTCTTCGTTACGAAGCGATTCTAGCCTAAAAGCCATCCCCCAAAAATTAGTAAGGATCCTACACTTTGTATTATCGAAATACGACCACTTTAATTTCTCACCACCCGCCACTGCTTTACAAATCAGTTTCGAGCGTAAAATTTTGGAAAAGATATCAAAACCATATTTTATTTCGGTGGACTGTAGCTCCTGCCAAACTTATTAATCCCGCAATGGCCCTCCCTAATTGTTTTTCATGTTCAAGTTTATCATTTGCGATTTTTTTTAGCTTTTTCCTGTTTGACGCTCCTAAATCTAAAAAAATATATCACAGATCAAACTACAACTAAAAGTACGGGACTTGTCACAGATATCCGATTTCGACTAATACTGTTGGGTCTGCCGACTATAATCGTCAACGATCACAAAAATATTACTCCGTACGTTAAACTAGGGTGTACATTTATACCAAACTTTGACCAACAAAAATTCAATCTAAAATCAGTTTCTGGTTTGTTTTATTTATTTAGAAACTATAATTTTCCTAGTTATTCGTCAGGATCTGCCAAAAAAAATATTTAACAAAGTATGAAGAAAAAATCGGTGCCTGCCAAAAAATCAGCAACGAAATGGGGTGGTAAAAAATTTTTAAGATTTTGAGGTTTAGGCTCGCCTGAATCAAGAACGACAATTTTTTAGTAGATCGAAATGTTAAAATATGTTTTTTGAGAAATATGTGGAATTTTTGACAAATTTCTTAAATTTATATTTACTGAATTTAAATTTCCATATACAGGGTGTGCCATTTAACATTCCCGCTGACAATATATCCGAAATGAAGAAATTTATTTTAGTTTCGGAAGTTGGGGGTGTTAGTTCTCTCGAATAACTTCAAATTGTAGTTAGAAAGGTTAGTTCAAATCTTTCTGTATAGATGGCGTGGTGATACTAACAAATTTTTTGATCCTTGGAACGTGGAAATGCAGTCCATCTCAAAGATCGTTAAATTTTGAGTAATTTTTGTAATATAAAGTTTTTCCCAATATTTATTTGTTTTTGAGATATGTCGACTTCAATATGCAATGTATGATGTAACACGAAAATCTATTATTTTATTTAAATCGCACCGAGACAAAATATTCTTTTAAAATATTGTTATAATGGCTTTCAGTTTATACACATCACATACTAACAAACAAACAATAAATTATAAAAAAACCGAATGATAAACTACAGAAAAAATAATTGTACAATGGTAAATCTTCATAAGGGGCTGAGACAAACAATATTTTATCAAATGTTATTAAAAAATGCAGTCATAGGTGGCTCATGTCATTTGTTTTAAATAAAACAAAAACATATATGTCAGATGACATATATCAGTTTTCTGGAATTACAGTTTTATCAGTTTGCGTCTTTCAATTTAACTTATAAGATTTACAATTGTACAATTTTTTTTACTTAGTTTATCATTTGTTTTTTTATAACTTATTGTCTGTTAATTAGTATGTGGTGTGAATAGTCATTATAAAATTATTTTAAAAGAATATTTTGTGTCGGTGTGATTTAGATTTTCATTTTCTTGTTACGTCATACATTGCATATTGAAGTCGACATATCTCGAAAACAAGTAAATATTGGGAAAAAGTTTATATTACAAAAATTACTCAAAATTGAACAATTTTTGAGATGGTCTACATTTCCACGTTCCAGGGATCAAAAATTTGTTAGTATCGCCACGCCATCTATACAGAAAGATTTGAACTAACCTTTCTAACTACAATTTGAAGTTATTCGAGGGACCTAACAACAACCCCAATTTCCGGAACTAAAATAAATTTCTTCATTTCGGAGACATTGGCAGCGGGAGTGTTAAATGGCACACTCCGTACGTAGAAACAAAATCAACATTTCAAAATGGAAACGATGTAAAATTTTTAATTTTGTTCAGTATTTTTTAGCAAAACTGTAAATAAAAATTAGGAAATATTATTTTAAGAACTTTATTATGGCAAAAAAACATTTTCTAGTGTTTTTTTAATATCGACTTTACTTTGATATGGAAATTTCTATTTAGTCGACATAAATTATGTAATATCAGATTTTAGCCAATAATACCAACAAATCTACTTTCCGGCAACGTAACGTTCCAGTACCAGCATCTTGTGAATAAAGACCTATTAAAATTGGAAAAAATTAAAAAAACTCCATGAAACCTAGAAGGATTCCCAGACATTTAGAAATCCACGGAACTCTAAAAAAATTCGACAGATTTCCCCAATTGGTGTACACCCTTACAAATATTCTGTTAATATTTGCAGATCGCGTCTCTCCTCCTGTCACGTAGTGCGCTTCTCGACCTCTCACCCTCCCACCCTCCCACCCGATAAACTTGAACAGGAAACCAACGGCGCGGGACGACATGCAATGCGTGTCACCCGCGGATCTCCTCCAAACCGCTAAGAATACTAAATTATTTGGTTACTGTGTTAAATAGCTTAGCACCTACTATACGGTTTGGTGTCCCGGCCCCACCTTCCTCTTCTTCTTCGGTTTCTTCCCGTCCTCCACCGTCTTCGACCTGGCCACTGTAAGGAAGATGTCCTCGAGGGAGGCCTCGCTGATCGCGTAGTCCTCGATCAGGTGACCGTTGTTAGATTTGATGTTCTCCAGTTCCTTGAACATCGTGCTCCAGTTCTTGCTCTTGTCATTGACGTAGATGTGCAGTACGCCCTGTGGAATAATATATGGTCGTAGTACAGAGCGAATTCGATGTGCCGCGCACAAAATCGCAATGACAAAGTTCATATTTCATATTAGGTCAAGCAAATAAGATTTTTACTCGAAAAAAGTCCTAACCGCGAGATTATTGTAAAATTGCCTAAAGGAACACAATACAAGACATCTCTCATCTCGTGAGTCAAAAACTTTTACTAGCTAACTTTTCTATTTAAACAAATAAGTGAGGAAAACAGTTTTTTCACTTTGCAGGGAAAACCATCAATTTTAGCGGAAAGTGACTCGCAGACAGCTTGTGGGGAGTAAAATTATCTACAAAATGAGACTTGTTAAATTAAAATCGGATAATAAACAAAAAAGTTATTGCAAAAAAACAAGAAAAGTGCCCATTTTTTAATTTGTTTATAACTATCGCATTTATTGTTAAAATTTTATAAAACCTATGACAAGTTGAGGGTTTTGTCATACTTCAAAAGTGTGACAAAAGTGGGCGCTGTAGGTGCAATAGTTTTCGCACAATTCAATTTATTTATAACGGAGGCTCCAAAAGTTATGAACTTTAAGCCTCTGTACAGGCGTTAATTTTCAACCAAACATGATTCTGAAAGCGTTATTTTAATCTTAAAGACGTAATTAAGCGACCTATTAAAATATATCACCGTTTTTTTGACATTAACATTATCAAATTGTGCATTAAAAAACTGCATTCTTCGCTTATAAACAATTTGAATAAAATTGTTGCTATTTATGTTACCTCACCGAAAATAGATACAATGGATAGCAAAAAAATACAAATTTTAAAAAAACAGTTACCCTCTATGACCAACAGGAGCCAAGATAAGAATTTTTTTAAAAAAATCGTAACGCAATTCTTTATAAACATTAAGACGATTTCCCTTGAATTGCATTGAAAAATGTGGAAAATTAACGACTCACGAGCCCTTTAAAGAGAAGGTACTTGTTAAGTAAAATGTCCGGCGTGGTGGTGGGGGAAGCTCGTCCAAGCGAGACGCGCGCGCGAGAAAAGTGAAATCCAAAGTTCAAATTGATGCGTGCTGTAAAATTTTGCAATATCTCGACTTCTATTCATCGTAGAAACTTCTTTTTTTTTTAAACAGGGATAGTTGTAAACAAATTAAAAAATAGGCACTTTTCTTGTTTTTTGCAATAACTTTTTTGTTTATTAACCGATTTTAATTCAACAAGTCTCATTTTGTAGATAATTTTACTCCCTACAAGCTGTCTGCGAGCCACTTTTCGCTAAAATTGATGGTTTTGCCTGCAAAGTGAAAAAACTGTTTTCCTCACTTATTTGTTTAAATAGAAAAGTTAGCTAATAAAATTTTTTGACTCACCAGATGAGAGATGTCTTGTATTATGTTCCTTTAGGCAATTTTACAATAATCTCGCAGATAGGAATTTTTTCGAGTTTCTCTTTTTTTTTCGCTAATTTTCCTGGTGTATATCTAAGAATTAATATTGCTACACAGAGTGTCCATTATTTGAATCTACATACCATATGTTCATCCCTAACGGTGTATTTGCTCTTAAAGTAGTCCTTCAATTGCTCGACGTTTTCAAAACTGTTATTCGGTGCGGCAATCGCATCGACTTCATCGTAACCCTCCCCGTCGGAATCGCTGTTACTTTTAAGGGAGTCCTTCTTGGCTGGCAAGCATTTTCTGTCATCTTTGTGGAGGAGTTTCAGTTTAACGTTAAAACCGCCATGTTCCTTCTTCAGTTCGCTTATGGTGCCCCCCCTTTCGAACCGGCCGTCCTTCATGATCTTCAAGCTGACATCAAAATTAATTAGCACAAATATCGGCTTGAAAAAGTTAAAATATTGGGCACAAGCAACGGTATTCCACTTTTACACGGGCAAAATGTCTGCGGCAAACTGTCTGCAGAAGATATTAGTTCTGCAGACAGTCTGCCGCAGACAGTTTCCCCGTGTGAAAGCGCACTTACTTATTACACAGCGCCTCGCACTCCACCATACTGTGCGACGTTAAAATGAAGGACAGATCCTTCTTCTCCTTGAAGTCCTTTATCAGATTCCAGAATTTCCTGCGACTGGACGGATCGACGCCGTTTGTGGGCTCGTCCAACAGTACGATCTGCGGGAAACCGATGAGCGCCACCGCCAAGCTTAACTTCCGCTTGTTCCCTCCGCTGTAGTAGCCGCAGGGCGTGTCGGCATACTGATCCAGTTCTGTCAAAAGATACGAGTATGTTAGTAGGTCCTTTAGAACTCCATATTTAAGTAAAAATACAGTTAGGGGCGCAACTTACCAAACAATTTTAAGAACTTTTCAACGATTTCCGTGTCGTACACGCCTCGTAACTGTGATATTAACGTCAGTATTTCACGTCCACTTAAAACGAAATTCAAGGCGTCCACTTGCGGACAGTAACCCAGGTTCTCTAAATACTGAAAAAAGAAGCGAAACTGATATTAGGATTACGTTAATTGAGAGATGAAAAGTAAAATTTTCAGAAATATACAGGGTGATTCAGTCATAATGTCGTTAATTTTAACCACGTATCTTTTAAAAATGAAGGAAATCAACCCATAACTCCCGCTAAGAGGGCGGCCCTGCCAGATCCGCGGATGCTTGGAAAATTTTGTAACGTAATGTCACGAACAAATCGTCAGCTGAAGCGAACAGCGTTGCCAAGTTCACATCATAATCTGTGGTTCACATTTAATTAATCCGCTTTAGTATACTGATACATATGTATGAAACTTATAAAATGCAAGTAAATAAAGGATCATGCTGCATTTTATTATAACTAATTTTAATAATTGTATTAAGTTAGTACAAAATGTTTTAACAAGCCTAACTTCTCGAAGTCAACTTTCGTTAAAAGAAAATAAATAAAGCAGAGGTTTGTAGGCACACGTATTTTATCAAATAAAAAAAGTCGGCACACTAAATACCCGAATATACGAAATACACTACACACGGTTACAAAACCATTATCTAACAATTTAAAGCGTTTATTCAAATCTACCATCCTCCATATCTCCCGCATTTTTCCCGCAAAGGAGTTAACATAACACATTTTCAAAAAGTTCAAGCTTTAGAAACAGCTGATTTCCCCAATCGTCTTGAATTTTGCAATTGGTTCCTAAATAGAAGTGCAGCAGAACTTTATTAACAAAATGCTCTGGACGGATGAATGCTGTTTTACTCGTGCTGGCATTTTAAACAGGTAAAAAACATATTAGCTCTTGGAGTTTTGTAACTTCAATATTAAATCTTATTTAAAGTGAAACAAAGCTAATTTCTTTGCAGCCATAATAGTCACATTTGGTCAGATGAAAACCCGCACACTACTCGTCTTAGCTTTCAGAGGAGATTCGGTGGCAATGCATGCATTGATTCAGGCATTTTCTACCTGAACATCTGAATGAGCCCCGTTACTTTTAATTTTTAGTAGAAGGCTTACAGCAAATTAAAAAATTATCACTATGATGTTAATAAAAAATGATTTTTGGCAAGTCATACTTAAGCCTCCTCGAGGTTCTTGCTAGGCAACAATAACAATTTAATATGTTCACTGCATAATTATAAAAAATAATTTATAGCATTTTAAATTATTATTGGCTGACGTGAGCAAACCGTTTATTTATTGTCTATATGAGCAAAAATATATAAATATGGCAACATTGCATCTAGGGTGCCTTGTTCATATCGTAGCCGGCTGACGTCAGTCGGTCAGTAACAGCCTGAAAAGGGGGTTAAATAATGATTTGAAAATATTTTTTTTCAGCTTAAATATGCATTTAATTTTTTTTTTAATCACGCCATCGTATGAGTATACATTTTTATCTATCTGCTCTTAAAATTAATGACATTATGACTGAATCACCCTGTATAAATTTTTAATAACTTTCTTAAGGAAAAATACCTATTTTCCAAACTAAAACTGTTTTTAAAACTAGACATCGAACAAGAAATAAAAAAATTATAAATTTTCCAAGGACAAAATGGCATTTTTGCAAAAAAAGGTATCAATTATTTTCTCAAAAAAAGATTGCCGTTACCTTATCTTGATCGATTGTAATTGGTCTGCCTTTCTCCCCACTGAGGGTAATTTCTACATTTCCGTCGTGTACGACTTCTTCACGTGTCAGCATGCGGAACGTCGTCGTTTTCCCCGCTCCGTTTACGCCCAGGATCCCCAAGCAGTCCTTCTTATGTAGCGTGAAGCCGATGTTCTTGACGATTTGTTTCCCAGAATACGTTTTTTGCAAATTCTTGGCCTTCAGCGTGTTATAGTTTCCTTTTTTATCCTCATCGTCGATACTCTGGTACCTACCGAAACCGTCTTGCCTATATATGATCTTGGAAATCTCGTACTGGATCCTAGAGAACAATTTTTTCACAACGTACGAGTCCAGTAGGGTGTTCACCGTGAGGTAAATTACACAACTGGCTAACATTAGAAGAAAGTTCTCCTTCAGCAACGGCGCATACCACTGATACGCTTCGCACTCCATCGTCTTACCTTGAAGAACAAAGAACGCACGTAGGACGTGAAACTCATTCAGAAACGTCGTTACTCACCTTCACAGCAGGGGTTCGGCTGTTGCATGCATATACCGATATGTTTCATCCTAGGCATGACGTCCCAGTTGTAGTTTTCGACGGCCTTCCCGGTTAGTATCATCGCGGAATGGGCTAAGCCCACCTGCGGCAAGCCTAATATGAACAAGACCTTTAAGCCGTGCCCTAGGTTGTTGTAATAGTCATCCCCCAATTCCATGAGGCCTTGCACGGAAACAGTGAAAATGATCCCGAAAAATATGCCCATGATGACGAAGACGGCGAAGCCGGCCGACACCGACTGTTTTCTGCTGAACAGGTACACGAATGGTATGCTGGCTGCCCCGTACATAACGAATATGAGAAATAGAAAAACTAGAAAAACAAAATAAAAATTGAGTTAGCGGTGTTTAATGCAAGACTACAGGGATTTAAAAAAAGTTATACGATTTTAGTCCTGAAATTTAATGAAATACTGGAAAACATGTTTTGCTATGTTTGAGATTACGTTGCAACATTTCCTCCAGAAAACTCGTTTTAGCATCTATTCTTCCACTTCAAAATCAACATTTTTTTTAAATTCATGAAAGAATGTCAGCTTTCAAATGGCAACAATGTAATTCCGATTAAATTTCAACGATAAGAAAAGGATTTACATTTTTCGACCCGAAAAAAGAAGTAAAAGTTTCGGTAGATTTTTCGATTATTTTCAATTATTTCACAATATGCACACAATTTGCACAGGAAAATATAACTTTTAGAGAAATTTTTAAGCCCAAGATTGGCCATGTAAGGCATTACTGTATACTTTATTGAAATTTGAATCTTTTTTCGAAAAACTCAATTTTTGCAAAAAAAAAATTTTGCAATTTTATAAAAATGCACTTATTCTACTTGCAAAAGACTATAGACTAGGCAGTATCTGTTTTGGTTTGGGTGAATCGTATACCCATGGAGATTTTTGGCTTTTTGGCTTCAAAATATTCACTAGAAATGAAAATATGTCCGTGGATATACGATTCACCCAAATATGGACTCTTTGAAAGAGATAACGTCTGGACTACTACATATTCTGAAAGTTTCTTTTTTCGTTCTAAAGATATAGAAGTTTTTTAAAAAATGTGATTTTTTGCCATTTTTTTGCAATAACTAATACATTTGTTACACAATTGAAATTGGGTTGAGCTCGAAATTTTTGTTTTAAATGAAAAAAAACTGTGTTTTGCGAACTTTGGACGCCATTTTGAAAATGAAGCCCCAACATTCAGCTGGGGTAAAGTAGTTCATTCAATTCTACGGAATTTTTCATAATTTTTACGTGTTTTTGTTTACTGAACCAAATTTTGGCAAAAAAATGAGGCACTTTTGACAATTTGACTTGCCGATAATAGTCCAAGCATTATAAAGAAATGCTTACAGAAATTATTACCTGGACAAAAAAAATATGACCGTATAGAAAATTAAATTTTAAATTGAGTTTCTTGTTCTTTAAACTCGATCCAATATGGCGAACATGGTTAAAAAAAATCGCAAAGTTGAAAAAAACGGTTTTTCTAAAATAACTAAAAAAATATAGCACGGATTGAAAAATTTTAAATTTTAAATGAGAAAGTTGTAGGTTTTAAAAAGATCTATCTACTCATTTTTTGAAAGTATCGATTGCTTTGTTACTTTTCGAGATATATCGAAAAAACCGTTAAAAATCTTCTCTTTTCTCTTCTTCTATAACTCGTTTACATTTACGTGCCCATATTTGCTATTTACTGTAAGCATAGCCCGCAGCAAGCCAAAAAAGCACATCTTTGAAAAATTAAAAATATTAATTATTTTTCGAGATATATCGATTTTTAGAAAAAGAGGCGCTCTCGAAAATTGGCTAGATCTTCTCAGCGGATTGCCCTACAGTAACGATTTTCGGTTTATTTTCTCCGTAAAGAGTTATATTATCATGCTGTTAAAAAATGTTGATGATTTTATTAATTATAAAAAATAATAAAAATTGAAATATATAAAAAACATACCCAAAAAAAGTGCAACTTTTTCAGTCATTTTTTGATCCTTAAAATTAATAAAATCGTCAACATTTCTTAACAGCATGATAATATAACTCTTTACGAAGAAAATAAACCGAAAATCGTTACTGTAGGGCTATCCGCTGAGAAGATCTAGCCAATTTTCGAGAGCGCCTTTTTTTTCTAAAAATCGATATATCTCGAAAAATAATTAATATTTTTTAATTTTTCAAAAATGTATTTTTTTGGCTTGCCACGGGCTATGCTTGCAGTAAATAGCAAATATGGGCACGTAAATGTAAACGAGTTATAGAAGAACAGAAAAGAGAAGATTTTTAACGGTTTTTTCGATATATCTCGAAAAGTAACAAAGCAATCGATACTTTCAAAGAATCGGTCGATAGATCTTTTTAAAACCTACAACTTTCTCATTTAAAATTTTTCAATCCGTGCTATATTTTTTTAGTTATTTTAGAAAAACCTTTTTTTTTCAACTCTGAGATTTTTTTTAACCATGTTCGCCATATTGGATCGAGTTTAAAGAACAAGAAACTCAATTTAAAATTTAATTTTCTATACGGTCATATTTTTTTTTGTCCAGGTAATAATTTCTGCAAATTTAACATTAATCCGTGACAGAATGCTTGGACAATTTATAATATTTCAAAACTCATTTAAAAAATTCTACACTTCAGTACTTACAGAATTCAGGCCCGCCTATGTAAGGCGCCATGCCGACGGCGATCGTTCCCACAACCAAGGAAATTACCAGGAACAACACAAAGTCCATCAAGTAATTAACCAACCAGTACCAATAAGGCTTCACTCCGCACATGAACTGCAGCTGGGTGAAATTGGTAGACAGCTCGATGTGGGGGAACACTATGAAGCTCCCGATGACCAGGAGAAACCCGATGGGCATTATGACGGACCAGAGCAATCTGACTTTGTCCTTGGAGTATTCCTGGGTGGTGTGGGTGTTGACGGTCTCCAGGGGCCAATTGCTGGCCCTGATGGAATAGTCGTCGCCTAAGTACGCCTTCGCTAGGGCGTTCGTGATTAGGTTCAGTGATATCGGGGCGCTGTGGATGGCTATGGCATTGTACATGGCCGTGGCTTGGATGTTATCATCCGAAATGAACTCGGCGCCGGCCACTAGGTGTGTTTTGTAGTAGATTATGTTCTCTATGCCCTCGTTGACAATTTCTGAAGAGTATTTCAGAGTTAAAATGCATGTATAAGTGTTTTCAAAAATTGTAAGCACTGCAATTCTACGTAGAATTTAATTGAGAAATAAATTTAATTCGGAATTAAATTAGAATCTATCAATTGGAATTAGTAGAAATCCAATTAGAAATTAGTTTGATTCTTATTATATCGGAAGAGAGCAAAAATTCCATTCGATTTTAATTAAAGTATTAAAAATATTATGTAGAATAAGAATCCGAGTTTGCTTATTCCAAAAAACCATTGGATAATTCAGGCGAACAACAAACATACAAAAAGCATGAAAAATTACCCGTTTTTTGACATATTTTTCCCTGTAACATTGAAAGTAAGCCCCAAATCAAAAAAAGTCGTTATTTATTTTTTATTTATTTGACGATTTTCTATAGTCACAACTGCGAATCAAAAAAAGTTGAATTTTGTATTAACAGTGGACGAAAAATAGTAGAAAATCATATGTACAGGGTGTCCCGAAATTAATGGGAAGTTCGAAAATGATTTAAAAGTACACTTCTGCACGACATTGGAAACTGGTCCACTGTAAAACCTGACCTTGCCCAATGGGACCGGCATGGCGGCAAAGTGTGATAAAAACGAACAAAAGCTTTCGCAAGGAAAGAAATAAGTAAAAATTTTATATCACTTATTTTATATCAGCAAATTCAACTGCTTTTGCTGTTACTGTTATTATTAATTAATAAAATTAATTTGTGGTCCTAAATAATAAAATAATTTGACATACCTGATGTTGAAACACTGGTCAAAATATTATCTACCGACATTTGGGTCCGTCTTACTCAGTTTCTACGAACTAACACAAACGTTGTCTTACTTCACCATAACACAAAATATTCTCTTGCTTCACCATAAATTAAAACAATATCCATCAACTCTGAGTTGCTATACACACAAGCCATTTTTGACACTAACTACTAAAAAACTATTGTAAACAGTATCGCAATGACGATTGTAAAATCGGATTTCAGTATTCGGAGTCGCTGAGGCCACGTGGCTCTCAAAATGTTGAAAAATTAAAAAAAAATTGTAAATGGTTATAAAAGTGTAAAAATAGGTATTTTTAGTATTGGTCATTGTTTACTATGACAAGTATCTCTAAAAAATTGTGTGCCCTTTCTAAACCTAAATTAAGGTACGCGATAAACTTTTTGAAATTTTCTAATCCTGTCAATCGAAAACCACGGGATCAATCGTTGCAAAATTTTTAGGGTAGAATTGACATATGTTTTACTATTTGTTCACAAAGTTTCACAAAAATATTTGTAAATATTATTCCAAATATACATACGATTTTCCACTATTTTTCGCCGATTGTTAAAGCAAAATTCAACGTTTTTTTATTGGCAGTTGCTGTAAAATCGTCAAATAAACATAAAATAAAGAATAACTTTTTTTGATTTAGGGCTTACTTTTAATGTTACAGGGAAAAATATGTCGAAAAACGGGTAATTTTTCGTTCTTTTTGTATGTTTGTTGTTCCAAAATAGATGACTACAAATGCAAAGGCGTCGAATGCTCTACTACCTGGACTATACTGCACCTTAATTAGTACTTTTTCCAAAGTAAAATTTTTGTAATATATCGTTTGTTTTGAACAGAAAATATACAAAATCCAATGCAAATAATATCTGCACCCCATATTCTAACTGAAAGAGTTATCCTAAAGTTAGAGAGATGTGCGGCAGCTTATTATTATTCAAGGCATGTTAATAAAAAATCACTCTTACCTTGCTGTACGTCCTCAACGTCCGAGGCTATTCCCCGATTATTAATCTCGACGACAGATCGATAAGCCGTTTTCAATTTGTTCGTTACATCGCTCTGTTTCGTACCGTTGTAGTAAACGGTGGAGTGTTTGTAGATGTCCAATTGCAGCTTCACTTCTGGACCATTATCTCCGTAGTTACCGATCGTGTTGCCGCTCAAGTAAATGGTCAGCACCAGGAAGACTGCCGCACTTAACGTCTAGAACGACAAGGAAATGTTGGATATCGTACATATCTATGGATATTTTAGTTTACCTACCGGTAAAAAATAGGTCCAGAATTTCTTCTTATAGAATTTCAATTTTTTCACAAATAGTGCCTTAAACCTCATCTGAAGTAGTTTCTTTGAGTCCGGAGGGTCACTCTTGGTATCTGCAGATAATCAAATGAAAAAATTATGAAAATTAATTTGCTATTATTCGTATTTATTCAACACAGTGCAAAGGTGGACGTGTTAAGTGGTAGAAGTGAAATATTTACATTTTACATACAAAATGATCTAATTTATACAGGACATTCGCAAAGTTGAGGCATTTTTGTTAACAGAACATAGAAATCGTAAAAGACCGCCATATCGCGACACCTATGAACTAATTTAATAACATTTTATAGTGTCACGTGATTTTTTAACGAAAATCTTTCTCCCCATAAATTAAAAGGATGTCTAAGTAAATTCTTTCAGTAAACAATGCTGGGACTACCAGTAAAATTTAATAATAATTTCTCCTTTATTTTTAAACTTTGATTTAGGTGATTTTAGGAAAAACTTTTGTTAAAAAAAATTCATCAATTTTAAAAACATCTATAATTTCACCCAGTTTTCAACATAATAGTAAATTTCTTCATATCGCTCTAGAAAGTTCTCACATTTGGTTGATAAATTTGTGGTTAATTGGCACTTACAGCAAAAAGAACTATTTACAAATGGCATGAACAAAGTTGACTTGTGAAATGTAAAAATTAAAAAAACAACTTTTTTTTTATGACAACTAAATAATTATGTAGTAATGTACATTGTTGAAATAAAATTAAAAAAAAATCTAACGTGCATGGTGCCGTTTAAATTAACGATTATGAATGGACATCGTGAATGACAAATTAGATTGTGCAGTTATTGACATATTTAGGTTTTAGTTACCTGTAAAGTCCATTAATCCTGCAGCACCAAAAACAGTAATAAACATTTAACATTACACACACAATTCAAATATATACAAGGTATAACTTTAAGTGGGGGTCAGTTTTTAGTATTACAGATACATGAATTGTAGGCAACCTACAGTGCATGTGAAGGGAGATAGTGCAGGTGAACGGTGACAAAGCAAAGGGCATCAGTTGTTCCGCATTTGGAGACAGTCTGGCATCTAAATGTGAATTTGAATGTTTTTCATCGCTGAAAGCCATCAACAGACTATTTATTTGTGTGTATTTCATTTAACATTATCGATTACTGCCCGAGTTTTTTACTAGGTTACTTTGTTAAATACTGTTTGTGTGGTGAACACCCTCTCGACAAAAGTAACTCGAAAGTGGTGAATGGTGTGGAAATGTGCATACACTGCGACTAAAGCGTGCCGTTACTTGATGTTCTCCAGCAGCGGGGTATGAAAATTACTAACAAAAGATTTAAAAAAAAATTAAGTTTTTACGACGGAATTTGAAAATATAAACTATTTTTTTGCGTTTCTAAAGGTCAAAGGAAGCCTCTGTATAAATATCACCCCCACTCAAAGTTAGACCCTATATACAGGGTGTCACCATGTTCCACCAACAAGACTCTGGATTCATCAAAAAATATTCATGCAAATGTATGTTTGCAGACACTTTGTTTTTGTGATTAACGATGATAAAGTTTATTTTTCTTTAAGTTATTTTCATTCATTTTGTCGGACTTTGACTACTTTACTAAAAAAAAAAATTAAAAATTTAAGAAAAATCAATAAAAAAAAAGAAAAAAAAAGTAATGCGGTGCGATCTTTAGTACCGTCTTCTTGTGAAGTTTAGTGGCTTTTGGGTGTTAAAGGCGCCATATTGAATTTGCCAAATCAAAATACGCAAAAAGCTATAGTTACTTTAAGAGCACGTGAATACATATATTTTAATGCTATATCCGATTAAATTGATTTCAATATGAGATTTTTACAAATGTTCTTTTCTAATATATTCATGTAAAAACAAATGAAAATAACTAAAAATAAAGGTAACTTAATTATCTTGATTTGCAGACATAACTTTACCAGAATATTTATTTCCTAATATCCTACATTTATCTGAATGTTTTTTTTTTCAAACAGATCCACACATTAATCGTTAAAAAGAAAATATAAATACCTTCAGCGTTCAGAGCGGGGACGTGATTGGAATTCGTTTCACTTTGCATCTTCACCCTATAATAAAAACATTTTAAGAGGGCTCTACAGCAAATAGGCAACCAGCAATACATTTTTATAGATTTTATTACACGGTTTGTCTAAATATGAATTAATGCACAAATAACAGACTTTCTGCCATTCTAACTAGTCCAGGCGGTATTTGTTTTAAAAAGGGTATACTTGGGTAAAACGCATATGATCGGAGATTTTTGCGTTAATGGCTTCTAAATAACATCAGAAATGATAACTTTTCTAAGCAAATAAAAAAAGACGTGGGCATAATTGTTATTGCAAAAAAGTATAAAAAATTTGTAAAAAAAATCATTTTTTTCTTGGATTTCTCGTCGACAACTTAGCAACTATTCATTTTAGACAAAAATGGAAGAGGAAAAAAAGTTTTGCAATTAAATTTTGAACAAGATAGAGTTAGTTGCAATTCCAAAAAATAATAATTGTTGTTGCAAAAATCGAAAGAATCATTTAAAAAATTGCAAAAAATGCTAGTTTATTTGTCAATTTTTTTCAGACACTTGAATAATACCTAGGACCTTCATACTTTTCCCAATTAAACTTCTTAGTGCATAGAATCATCACACCAAATTTCATTCAATTCGGTTCGAGTAGTTTTTAGTTTTTACATAATAATTGTTTAATTTTTTTTTTTTAATTAAAAAATTTTCAAATTCAAATTTCTAAAAATCTAAAGCCTTTGAATACCTGAAAATTTCACCACAAAAAGCAGAGCACTCAACCTTTCAAATGGTTTTTGAAAAATTCAAATCGGACGATTAGGTGAGCCGCGGTGATTGTTTAAACATTTTCGCAATTTTCACGCTTATAAACAATTGCAATAATTTAATGTTTTTTTTTTCAATTTTTTTTTATTTTAAAATATGGTTTGAAAATACTTGGAAAGACGAGTATTTAAAAAAAAAACCTGATGATCAGCTCAATATTTTTTCGGAGTTATAGCCCGTTAAAGTTAACTCTTATTTACAGCAAAACTATGAGGGTATAAGGGCTGTTTTTTGAACTAATAGGTTTATCATTCCGAGTACTTTCCAGATATAAATTTTGAAATTTTGCAATCGCGGGCGTCCCATTTAAAATGTTACTCAAAAATATTCAAGACAGCGTGAAATCAATGAGGTATCAGTGGTGGGGGGGAGTAAACACACAGCTACTCCAATCTGAATTCTCGAGCTCAAAACTGCGACGCTCGGAAAAACTTCACTTATCTCAGCTTCTAATGGACCAATTTCGATGATTTTTTTTTAAATCGATGTCTCGCAACATAAAAAATTCAATTATCATATTTTCAACTACCTTTTATTATTAATTATTGGACTTTTGATATGCCGATAAACAGTTACTTTAAAAAATGATTAATTTATTATGTTTATTTATTTACCAAGTTTTCATGACCAAAATTTTTGCATGTTGCACCAGGCAATACTAGTAAGTTTGTTTAAATATTATAAAATTGTTTAAACAATAATTATTTAAATAAACAACTGAAAATTGGTATTAATTTTTAGTTGTACGATAAATTTCTCAAAAATCTTTAAAAAAAAAAGTAAATTGTGAATAATTATAATTTTAATTTTTTCGTTTACCTACTTTTAAAATATTTATCTAAAATTTATTTTTTATTTATATAAAAAAGTATAAGAATCTTTTAGATACTTCAATAAACAGTTTTCATGATTTTTCAAATTTTAAACTATTTATTTCAATTTTTATTTACATTTAATCTAATTTAATTCTTTTACTCGTCTGCAACTGCAAAATATCATTTTCTAACGACTCTGAAATCTGATTGTCGAGTTCACTTGCACTTTCTTCTGACATGTCTTCTTCAAAATCGATTTCGAACTCGTCTATTTCCACTGAATATCTTTGAGTGACATTTTAAATGGGACGCCCGCGATTGCAAATTTTGAAAAATTATATCTGGAAATTACTCGCAATGACAAAACTATTAGTTCCAAAAACAGCCCTTATACCCTCATAGTTTTGATGTAAATAAGGGTTAACTTTAAGGGGCTATAACTCTGAAAATAATGGGCGGATCATCAAGTTTTTTTTTTAAATACTCGTCTTTCCGAGTGCTTTCAAACCATATTTTAAAATAAAAAAAAAAATTGAAAAAAACATTAAATTATTGCAATTGTATTTAAGCGTGAAAATTGTGAAAATGTTTAAACAATCACTGCGGCTCACCTAATTGTCCGATTTGAATTTCTCAAAAACCATTTTAAAGCTCGAGAGCTCTTTTTTTGTGGCGAAATTTTCAGGTATGCAAAGGCTTCAGATTTTTAGAAATTTGATTTTGAAAATTTTTTAATTGAAAAAAAGAAAATTAAACAATTACTATGTAAAAACTATCGAACCGAATTGGATGAAATTTGGTGTGATGATTCTATGCACTAAGAAGTTTAATTGGGAAAAGTATGAAGGTCCTAGATATTATTCAAGTGTCCGAAAAAAATTACAAATAAACTAGCTTTTTTGCAATTTTTTAAATGATTTTTCCGATTTTTGCAATAACAATAATTATTTTTTCGAATTGCAACTAACTATATCTTGATCAAAATTTAGTTACAAAACTTTTTTCCTCTTCTATATTTGTCTATTTTTGTCATTTCTGATGTTATTTAGAAGCCGTTAAAGCAAAAATCTCTGAACATATGCGTTTTACCCAAGTATACCCTTTTTAAAACAGATACCGCCTAGACTAAACGCAGATTTGCTATAAAATGGTCGTAGTTTGAAACTAAAATTACTTTTTGCTGCAAAGAAATTTGTAACTTACGATGCGGCTTGTTCAAAAGCGGAAAATTACAAATTTTGTTACAACAAAAAGTAATTCGAGTTTCAAACTAACTCCATTTTATAGAAAATACAGGAAAGTCTGTCATTTGTCCATTAATTCATATTTAGGCAAACCGTGTAATAAAATCTATAAAAATGTATTGCTGGTTGCCTATGTGTTTGAAATATTTTAATACAACCGCGGAATATCTCTTACTTTAAAAATATGTCCTCCAGGGTGGTAACCGTGACGGATATGTTCTCGATTTTTAGGCCCTCCTTGTCCTCTTCGAGAGTGGCCAGCAGGCCGGCGATTTTCGAGTTGTCCTCCATCGGTAACAAGAAGACCATGTTATTCCCGTAACAATCTTTGAATTCCGCCATATCGATGTCGCTCAGAATGCAGTTCTTGATTTTGTTCTTGTCTTCCGTCGTGGCGTCGTCTTTAACCATCAAAGATAAATGGTAGCCCGTATCTGATAAACATAAAATTTTTATGGTTGGTTTGCAGACTTCCGTGGCACTGAATGACTTCCGGGCTGGTTGCCGCGTTGTCGTTTTGGGCCTGTGAGGTTTCGAGCGTGTCATTATTCACAAGCGGGAGATACGTCTCTCGAAACGCCGACAACGTCCCATCCAACCCGGAAATTGTTCACTAGTAAAGTTGACCGTCGGTGTCTCGTTACCGACTGAGAACATTAATTGAAACGAGTAAAATCGATACAAGTAGACTTTCTTAATCAATTTACGACGCCTCTTTCGGAAAACTCACCATACTCCTTCTTCAGTCCCATGGGTGTTCCGTGACACTGCAACGAGCCGTTGGCCATAATGGCGATCCAATCCCCGAGGGCGTCCGCCTCCTCCATGAAGTGTGTGGTGATCAGGATGGTCTTCTCTCTCCTCCAGGCAAGCAGCATGTCCCACAGTTCCCGTCGAGATTCCGGATCCATGCCGGATGTGGGCTCGTCCAGAATCAGGATCTACGTGGCGTTAACCTCATTAATTCATATTTCATAAAGATATTACACAAGGTGTTGTTATACAGTGGTACAAATCGTTTCAAGATATCAAGGCTTTAAAGAAATTGAAAATTGAAAATTGTACGAAATGTTGTTAAACAAATCTAATAATTATTAGGCAAAAACAGAAGAAAACATGAACAATAATTATAACAGCTGTTCAAAATGATCATCACTTATTGGTAATAGGTTCTTGCAAGTCACTGAGTGTTATTTCTTGCACCGTATAAAAATTTGATCTCACAAGATAAAAAAAATTTAAATAATCCTACAAAAAAGATACGGTTGGGACAGCTTGTTTTAGTTTTGTCAGTTAGGGCGACTTTTTGAAGTTTTTCCTTTTCGATACGTTTCTTTCGATCAATTAGGACCTATACTTCAAATTAATGAACATCAGTGCAAAAAAGTGATTTTATCAATGCAGTGAATCGAACAAGCTGCGAAAAGTACACCAAAAAATATATTTTATTTCAAATAAAAAAAAAATTGATACCGCTTAAAATATTGTTACAAGCACCCTCACCTCAGATCCTCCGATGATAGCCATCCCCAGGCACAGCTTCCTCTTCATCCCTCCGGAGAGCGTGCAGGCCATGGCATCCTTTTTGTCCAACAAGTGTAGCTTCTCCAACAGTTCCAGCATTTCTTTCTCAGCCTCCTCCGCCGATTTGCCCTTTAACTAAATCAAAAAGTATAATCCAGAAAAAATTAGTCATTAAAATTAACGGAAGAAACGTCTTTATTATTGTACTGTAAAATATGTTCAAAATAAAAGAAAATGGGCCCACCTTTGCGAAAAACAGCAAGTGTTCACTGACCGTTAAATCTGTAAACAAAAGATTGTGCTGGGGGCACAAGCCGAGGGACTTTCTTATTTCGTCCATGTTGTTCCTTATGTCTTTACCATTCATTTTTATACTGCCCGAGGTCATGTCAAGCATTCCTAAATGCATAAAATGATATAACAATTTAAAGAGTAAAACATCCGATAAAATTCATAATAATGAGAGTTCAAGCGCTCAAGTTGATTTCTATAATCTACCAACCTGTAATTATCGACATTGTCGTCGATTTCCCTGCTCCGTTGGGGCCGAGAAGCACAGTTATCTGATTCTGGTAAATATCGAGCGACAAATCGTTTACGGCCAGCTTATTCCCGTAGCGCTTCACTAGGCCTTGTATCTCTATGCCTTTCCCCAAGCCCTTACCCTCCTCGACATATTTCAAGCGAAGGGGTTCGGTTCCTTGTTTGTCCTCGACGGTACACATACCCATTACCCACTGGAATCGAACGATAAGATATTAAGCCTACATGACAAAAACACTAAATATTGAATAATAAAATTTATACACTAAACCAAACAATTAAAGGGTCAAAAGAATTTCCGAAATTTTTCAGTGATTTTTGACAGACTGTATTTAAGTAAAAAATGGTCGTATCGAGAATTAAAAAAAAGCATTTTGAAACTCTAAGATTCTAGTTTTTAGATCTTTCGGTCGAAAATTTTTAGGAGCTACGGTTATCATGCAATTCTAAGATATAGTACGACAAACAAATTTTGCAAATTTTTTCATTTTTTTTCCAAGTTCACGGACTTGGAAAAATTTTTTCCAGCTAAGCCATTGCATGGACCAGATAGCTTGTTTATTCAGCTTTAATTTCCTTTTTTTAAAATTTCGATACGACCATTATTCATCAAAATATCGGACTTTTAATGGAAAAGGGTCCTTTTGTCTTCAATCATCGATATTTTGGCGACAAATGGTCGTACAGAGAATTGAAGAGCAATTTCGAAAACTGTAATAAATGTCCTATAACATGCTGCCGCAACTTTTCGAATATTTTTGTTTTTCGTTTTACACGAATTTAAAAAAATGGGAAAAAAAGAGTAATTTATGTTTTTTTAGAAAATTGACTTCTAAATTAGAAATATTCACGAAATGACTAATGTTAAGCATGACTTTTACAGTTCGATATACCCAGAAGAACCCTGTGAAGTTTCATCTCGATCTAGCGAACCGTTTCTTTGTTTCAAACAAACTTTTCAAAAAAATTAAAGGGTCACGTTTTTTGAGCTTAAACAGTTCATAATCATGATTAAAATGGAAAAAAATTTTTTTTTGGGGTTTTCACATTTGTACCACAAATAACTTGATTTAAATAAAAATTATTTTTCGAAAAATTTTAGATTTTTTTCTCTTTGGAAAATCTTTCGGATATTGAAGAAAACAAAATCCAATTGTTTCCAGCATGATTCGGCTTTTCTGTTATTATTATTATATTAAATTAAAGTCGATGGACAAAAGACAAAAGAATCGAAGACAAAAGGATCCTTTTCCATTAAAAGTCCAATATTTCGATGAATAATGGTCGTATCGAAATTTTAAAAAAAGGAAATTAAAGCTGAATAAACAACCTAGCTGGTCCATGCAATGGATTACCTGAAAAAAAATTTTCCAAGTCCGTGAACTCGGAAAAAAAATAAAAAAATTTGCAAAAATTTTTTGTCGCGCTAGGTATTTCTTAGAATTGCATGATAACCGTAGCTCCTAAAAATTTTCGACCGAAAGACCTAAAAACTAAAATCTTAGGGCTTCAAAATGCTTTTTTTAATTCTCGATATGACCATTTTTCACTTAACCCTTTCGCTGCGCAATACGTCTGAACGCGCCGTGCGCGATTGTTTATCGCGTGCGAATATATACGTCTGGAGCAGTTAGACCACTTATAGTTTTACATTATGTTGTGTTAAATTACGATTTACGATAAATTTTACGATTTTATTTTGAAGAAAATACAGTATATCTACTAAATAGAAACTGAAAGAAACATGAATAATCTTGGTACTATTACCAGTACCTCTTTCCATAAAAATATTTGTCACATTCGGTATAAGCTCGTCCGCAAAAATTCGCCTTACCAATTGCAATAACCGAGTCACTATGCGCACGGTTGCGAATATATACAGTTTGAGCAGCCTGATCCAATTTGACTATTTGTGCGAATTAATCCGTCTGGAGCAGTTTGAGCCCTATAAATTTTTAGCGAATATATACGTCTGGAGCAGTGAAAGGGTTAAATACAGTATGTCAAAAATCACGGAAAAATTTCGGAAATTCTTTTGACCTTTTAATTGTTTGCATTAGTGTAGAACAAAAAAAAATTACATAAAAATGTACATATTTTAAGATTCTCTACACGTGTCTACTCTGCGTCGGTAGAGTTAAGAAACACGCTGTATAGTATTGCCATTTTAAGTGTCAAAATGAATCAATCATTGAGATGTATCAGAATCTTAAAAACAATTTTGAAAAATACACCACGAAAATGGAAAAATTATTTTAAATACAGTCTGAAATCACCTCCAAGACATTTATTTGTTTCTTACCTTGCGCAAGCGATGGATCGGAAATAGAAAAGACTTTCTAACGCCGTACTTTCCCGGATTCAGTCCGTCCATGTACAATGTAAAAGCCATGTAAATGATCATGTCTATTATCAACATCACAAAAACGTTCAACATAGTAACATCATCGGTGCCCCCACTGCTAGATTTATAGAAATTGTTCCATTGAAGGCCTATATCTAAAAAAAAATGAAAAATGTGTAATATTCTTCGATATTCTCACCATTATTCATATTTATTTTACCTCTTTCTTCATAACCGGATATCGCTAGATACCCATAATGCAGCGCCATGTTCGGTAACAGAATTAACTCCATGTTCAAGCTCCAAGACAGCTTGGTGCCCATTTCCTCGAGCCCTAATCCATACTTTGCCACAAAATACGACAAGATCCATACCAGAACACCCGCCACCATGGCAACCGACGCTATAAAACGAAAATTCAAAAACAATCTCAAAATGATCCTAAGAAACAAGATTCGTTTTCTACTTACGTTTGTAGAACAACGAGCTGATGGCGAAACAGAAAATTGTGGCGGCCATGCAATACAACAGCAGAAAGACGAACAAAATGGAACCGTCCGTGTGTTCGATGGGGGGATATTCGGTGCCGAATAACGGCACTTTCATTAACACCACTATGCATAGAATGGAGAACAGCATCGGTATTATCCCATATATGAACCAACCGAGCCAAAGCATCCACGACTTCATACCTACCATTTTCAAAAGTTCCTATAAAAAAAACTCGATAATCCATTTTTCAAATTTTATAATCCTATCATTAAAAAATATATTGACTTTGGCGATCTAGAACATAAAAGTCTCTTGCAGCTAGATGACAAAAAAGACCCACTTTGTCAACTGAAAATTTAACGAAAATGTCGACTTTTTACAAGTTTTCAAAAAAAAATATTTTTTAGATATTTTTTTTTGCTATATAATTAAAGTTTTTAATTAAATTCATCTACAAAATAACAATAGTATAGATATTTTTTATTGCAGATACGAAACAGAAATTTCATAGTTTAGCTTTAAACAAGCGACTGTGTAAATAATTACTGGCATTATATAAAGAATCAAATTAAGTAACTACAAGTCAAACAAACAGTCGCCACAATTATTTCTAAAATCACTATAGCCATGTAAAATTTTTGGCAGCCATTTGACTATGTTGTGTCGCAGTTCAAGGATTACTCTTTATGAAAACAAGTGAAGTAAACATGAACGAATAACCTAACCTCACTATTTATTTGTTGGTACTTCTGAACTACACACAGAAATTCGAACATTTGCTAATTTGTGAAGAATTTTATGAATCGATTAATACTCATTTGACAACAAATTTGGTGTATTACACTTGTCCAATTTCTTCTAATTGATTTCATGAATTAATTCACGAAATGTAAAAGTTTAGTTAGTCCCTGAAGTTGGATTGAAATTGAATTGAAATTACTGCAATTTAGTCTTGTTTTCCACCATTGACTACTAATAATTAAAATCAAGCCTGCTAGAAATATTATTTATAAAAATAAAAATGGCCACAGTACACTTCACCGAGGTATTCCATACTCATTATATTGATAGTGGCATGGTATTATTTATTTTCATTATTTTCTCTATTATTTCTCTTAGAAAATTTATCTTTTAACCATAACAGAAATGTTCGCTTAAAATGTAGTTTTCTAACTTTTTTAATAAAATGTGGTGGCCTATTGCTTCGCACAGCGTGAACATATTCATCTTTTTCAATTGCCTGTTTCTATTTTATTATTGTTAGCTGCAGCGCTAGCTCATAAAAACGTTTACTTTGGAAATAGTAAATAGTACTGTTATATTCTTACTTTTATTCCAGAGTATTTCTCCTCTACGACTCGTTTTAGTACGGCGGGCGAGATGAAAATAAAACTGAAGAGGGTGATGATGGGTAGAAACGTTAAGAACATGGTGGTGAGGGCAGAATCCTGCTTATGTGGCGGATAAGGGAATTCTTGTACCATTACAGTTACGTTACTTTCTAGATCTTTTCCAGACACTTGCTCTATGAACGCCATATCCAGAGCTTTCTGAACAGACAGGTATCCTTTATAGTAATAGGGTGTTCCTAAAATTATGGAGAAACTTATTATTTTTGTATCTAGAACGTGAAACGGTACTTTTGCGTTCAAGAATGGAAGTTATTTTGCCGAGCTTAGTGAAGCGAAATATCCATTCGAAAATACAAAAACATCCCAACCAGCAAAACAATTTAATAATTTTCAGGTTATACGACAATTATGTTTTATTGTATTATTGCTTTCGAAATGCAAATTTGTTTTATTATAGCAGCAAGTACCATAATTTTGTTGAAACCTGAACGTATACACAGGATTTAATAGAAGTGCTTGCGCAGGTTTAATTTTTTTTTGTTTGCGTTATAAGTTTCGACAAAAAGACAATACAAACATATTTGCTTGTCTTGAAATTTTGAAAAATAGTTCAAAAATTTGTATGTTGAGTTGAAAAAACTGGGGAATTAAAAAACACACTGACTAAAATGGCCTTATTTTAATATATATAAAAAATATTATTAATAAAATTTGTTTCCAATATTAAGTAGAATTCAAATATCAATGAGAGCTGAAAATTTCAATACAATAAAAATGGAATTTGTATTGACAAAATATCAAAGTAGTGAATCAGGACATTAAAAATGATTGACTATAATTATTTTATATTAAACAATGGGTTTACCCATAATGACAGGAACTAGTCACGGTCAACAAATTTAGTCACATTAATTAACAGGATGTATTATTTATGTACAATTATCAAACATACACTCTTCATTTACATGCCGCAATATTTTAATGTTATTTTATTTTATTCATTTATTTCACAAGCCCCAAACACCGATAAAAATGATTCATACAAAAAAATAACATACAGATAATATATCAAATAAAATTAAAGCTACATTTCATTAGACTAATTTTTTTAAATATTTTACGATTTCTGCTTACCTGTACCAGGTTCAAAATTAAACGAATTTTTATAAAGCTCGGCTGTATTTACATCCGTTGAATAATAATCTTGGTGTACTCTCATCACATAATCAAAGTTTTTCTGGTCTTCTTCATTGAAAATAATAGCAATGACAGTATTATTATGGTGTGAGGCATAGTAATGTAATAACAATTCGTTTGAAGGAAACCCTTTAATATCTAAAAATGAGAAATTCATTTCATATCCTTAAAGTAACAATTACTTAAATAACTTACTGTTGTTATACATCTGGAATTTAACTTGGACTCTTTTCATTATATCTTGGTAAAATTCAGTGTTGGGGGTAAAGTATATTCTTGTCTCACTCACATCTAAATCACTGTACTGCAATATTTGGGGAGAGTTGTATGTCACCTCAGTTATCTCGATTTTGTTTAGTCCCGTAATTTTACTTCTTCCATAAGCGATTAATAAAAATAATAAAATAGGTAATAACGACTCTACAATAGTCAGCAGCCAATGTCTTTTCCTTATTATCAAGTTTTTCCAGACGACAACTTTCAATTGTAGTAGGAGCATCGTGATTGTTTCGGTACAAACGCTAGAGCTGTAACAAAGAAAATATAATCATTTGAGTCGATTTTTTTTACGAATTTCCACCAAGGTATCAAGTAGATTTTTATTACATAGATTTGATTTGACAGTTTATATGTTGAAAATTAAAAAAAGAGAATTACCTTTGTGAAGACTGAAATTAGTATATTAAGCGGAATTTGTTCCAGATTATGAAATATACAAACACAAATGCAAAATGCAATAGTCCGATAACGCAAACATTGGAAATTAGGTACTATTTTCAATGACACAGTTTATTATTCTACGTCACATCTGTTTTCTTTTAATAACACTACGTCGTTTTTCATTCCTGATTTTGATAAGTGTGATTACCAGTGTTGCCTGATTAGTAATTAAATTACCAACAATAACAACCAACCACAACCACATAAGACACAACAAAAAATATAATACTAGACACCAACCAATCCAAAGCGACATCTGACTACAGTGTTGCCAGATGTATATAATTCAAATCAATTGTTTACATAAAAAAAAATATATGTAGCGTTTATCAGTTAATATACCTAATTGTACAATGAAAGTTAATGCGAACCTTATAAGAAATTTCGTTAAAAACTGTAAATAAATTATTAAAGTTTTATTTTTAGTTGAGCTTCCTATTAATATTAACAGATGGCGCAATTAAAATATTACTGTCATTATAAGGTCTATGCATAATTTCAGGTCACAGCTGTCCGCCAAATTCGTTTTATATTTTTTAAACTTCAGTTAAATAATGATTTCATACAAAAGCAAATCAATGCAAGTTTTTTATCACATTGTTTCATTTTTTATTAATAGCTAAAAAGGCAGCAAACGCCCCATTATCGAGAATATAAGTAATTTTAGCAGGTATAATTCTAAAAAATAACATTATTCTTTCTAGGATGCACCTACCTATAGTCTTGATAAGAACGTTGTATCGAATAGATATGTTTACAATTATTTTTCTTAATATTATTCGCTGATGTTGCTAATCTAAATATGTAATTATATACAGGGTGTCTCATAATTAGCTGCCAACCCTGAACAGGCCGATTTTATGATCAAAACTAAGTAAAAAAGTTCATATGAACATGGGTCCGGAAATGCTTCCTAAGGGCACAGGGCAGAGGGCACATTGAAGAGGGAGGAATGCAAATAATTTTTTTGCAATATCTCAATCGCGTTGTGATAAAGGAATGAAATTTGATATACACAGCTAAATTTTGATGAGCAATTTGATGGACTAATCCATTTATTTCCACAAGGTCCTTGATACTTTGCGTGTGTAACTTTTTCATCTTTAACTTTTTAACAAATTGGACACCAAATTCCGTTTTCCCGAACTGTTTTACGTTAAAAAGGTACTCTTGTTTCAAATCGTTATCTTTAACGGTTTCTGAGAAAATCGCTCTTGAATTAATCCCACTTTGGTGAATTTCATAGTAATTTAAACAAAAAAAATTTTTTGTTTAAATTTAATCTAATTTTAATAAAAAAATAATAATAAAAAATTAAATTAAATAAAAATTAATCCTTTAAATGGAAAAGAGAGGAAAGGAAAATTATTATTATTATTTTTTGTTTAAATTACTATGAAATTGACCAAAGTGGGATTAATTCAAGAGCGATTTTCTCAGAAACCGTTAAAGATAACGATTTGAAACAAGAGTACCTTTTTAACGTAAAACAGTTCGGGAAAACGAAATTTGCTGTCCAATTTGTTAAAAAGTCAAAGATGAAAAAGTTACACACGCAAAGTACCAAGGGCCCCCCGTACCCACCCCAATGGACCTTGTGGAAATAAATGGATTAGTCCATCAAATTGCTCATCAAAATTTAGCTGTGTATACCAAATTTCATTCATTTATCACAACGCGATTGAGAGATATTGCAAAAAAATGATTTCCATTCCTCCCTCTTCAATATACACCTGTGCCCTTAGGAAGCATTTCCGGACCCATGTTCATCTTTTTTACTTAGTTTTGATCATAGAATCGGCCTGTTCAAGGTTGGCAGCTAATTATGAGACACCCTGTATTTTTTAGCGACATATACCTATTAGAAAATCAGCATATGGCAACATTGGCAACACTGTATGACTGACTACGACGAAGATCCTTGTTATAGGCGTAGCTACAGCTACTTTATCTTGGTGTGGCATATGGAGACCTCTAAAAAAAGAAGGATCGCGATCAGCGGCTTCCATCCTCATACGTTTTGAAAAAAGAAGCACGCAGTCACCGACTTGCTAATATGACAAAGATGATACTAGATCTTTTTTTCTGAAGTGGGCACCGGGCTTTCTGGGATGGGTCAGGTAGGTATTTTGATTTTGGTTACAGTATTTATCAACTGATACACATAAATTATCGATGTATTTGATTTTGTCATTTACGTACATATCTCGATCCGATATCTCCGTTTTGATAAAATTCTAAAAATAAACGAGGAACAAGTTGTGTTTCACTTTTTTTCAGTATTTCGAATGCATTATTGTTCACAGTTGCGCAATTTAAAACATACAAATTTTACAGACAATAATCATTGTCAACAAATTTAGGTAATTCATATAGTCATAGCAAAGAGGATAAACTAATATGTCCTCTTTGGTCATAGACACATTTCTTTGTTCTCAGTGGTTGGAGTAAAGAAAACCCAAGGATGTTTATAATTTATAATATATACAAATATCCTTGAGGAAAACTATCTATTTTTTTGACAACGGGAGTACGACTTTTGAACGTTTCCGCACACACATACACTAAAGACGCTTCTTGTTTTTACCACGGTTTTTACTCACCTTTAAGTGTTTGTTTCTTGAATTTCACAAAACTGAAGTCTTTAGTTTAAGAAATTTAAGGATGGAGTGCGCAGTAATAAACCCAACATATTTTCGTAACACAAAGCTATGGTTTCCAATAAAATGTATTCAAAAAATAACATAGTTTTTGTGGTCGGTGAATGGGGCGAACGCCGTTTGCGCGTAGCACTGAAGCAATAAGTATGCCGTGATCAACAGAAAATAGAACTGGACGTTATTTCTTATCTGTTCATTCCTCTTTATCGGTATATTTTTATCTGTGCCTTTATCATTTGCTGGTTTTGCACACTGACTTTCGAGTTTAATTCTGTTTGAATGCAGTGATTTTACAATAACCTGATAATAACTATGGTATATTTAATATTCGCTTATGCAGTTCATTATTCTGTTTATAAAACAATGTGTTTTAAATATAACTGTGACTTATCAGTACAGGTTACACCCGTATAAACATGCCTTTACCGCAAAAGTTACAGTTTCTTTGGAATAATAAAAATATTTTCGGAGCAGTTAGGTATTGATTAACACTGTCCTTATTATGTATGCTAGAAGAGATAACATTATGTATGTATTTGACAAATAAAACGGAAACATTATTTTTTTACTCTATTTTAAAGGTATTCAGCTAATTCAAATAAATGCAAAATCTAACAGCACATACCCAAGATTCCCAATTGCTAATATGCTAGTATATGCAAACAGCTAGTAGTAAACAGTTATCCAAAATAGAAATTAAAAATGATATGTCTAGAAATTCAGGTATGATACAGTGTGTCTCGGATGGACTCTTGTAAACTTTTTTTTATTGTTGATTTTCCGAGAAAAAGTTAAGAATCGCGTCTTCTTATTTGCAAAATGTGATTATTGATCTTTTCTGACTAAACCCCGTATTTAAGGATTTCTTGAGTTTTCGAACAACTTTGTTAAATACAGTTTTTAACGAAAACAAAAATTAAAGCCACTTTGCTTAGCGAAAATTTGACATTTTGAAATTTTTTGGACGCGCGTATGTTTTATTACATATTTGATTATTGCCCATGGCTTCCCAAGATAAGCAAAATTTTTTATTAAGAATAATTTTTTCTCGAAAAATATACAATAAAAAAATTTGCAAAGGTCCGGTACCCCATCCGAGACACACTGTATCATACCTAAATTTCTGCTATTGAAGAACTTTATTTGACTTCATTTGATTTTTTAAAGAGAGACAAATTTTTTGATCTTTTAACAAAAGCGAGAAAATAATAAAACTATTTAAAAAAACTTTTGAATATGGTAGAAAAAAATTGCGATAACTAAAATTATTGTTAAAGTACCACGTAAAATATTTGAATATAAAAGTTTAATATCTGAATAATATTATTGAAACGAAAATAGAGGTCAAGAGGAATAATACTGATAAACCATCTAATTTTACTAAAAATATATTAACAAAAATGTACCAACACACTACATTTAAAAGAAGAATATCATTAGGATTGTCTCCAATTAGTAAACGATTAGATCCCAAAATTAGACAGTCGGTTTTTGCTCCACGTAGTTGGTCATATCTTATAACTTTTCAACAGAAATGGGAAATCCAAATTATAATTTTCCCTCGATTCTCTTCCAAATAATCTCCGCCTCTTTGTTCTTCAGATGTAAATTATTTAAAATTGTGGGATCTGTAAAAAACTGTACTGAATTATTATTTTTTATTTTCATTGTAAAAATAAATAACATGCCAGAACCTCTAAACCAGGGGTCGGCAAGTAATTTTAGGTGGGGTCAGGATACTTTTGAAAATTTTTAACGAGGTCCAGAAAAAAATTCATATTTCTTACTATTTTTTTATTTTAATTTACACTAAAATTTAACTGCTTACTAACCACTAAAAACTCAAACCACTCACATATTATAAAATACTAGAAAAAATCATAATGGTGGCACTCAAATGTAAAAAAATATTTTTTAAATATTTTATTTGAGTAATTTATACTTTCAAAAAATTTTTGGCGGTCCAGTATTTTACCTTTCGCGGTCCGGACCTGGACCGCGGTCCGCCAGTTGCCGACTGCTGCTCTAAACCATTTACCACATTTGAATTATTTAGGAATTTTAAAATCAAAACATACGTGGCGGGTCATTTTGGCAATGCATGTGTTGGAATCTTAGAAGCCATATAATACAGGGGGTTTGGAAAATCTGGTACAAAATTTAAGGAGGTGAAAGTAGAGCCAAAAATAGTAAAAAAAGTTGTTATAAACGTGGGTCCTCCGGAGCACCGTTACTGAGATATGGCCCTCCAAAGGAGTCTTATCTTTTGGATATTATTTAAAATAACTTTCTTTCTGATTAAGATAACAGAATGAAAATTGTAGGTAATAATCCTACTACAAGGGTCTTTAACTATCATAAGTTTCATCAAAATCGGTTATAAATAAGGATAGTTTTCTAACTACCCTTAACAGAAATTTTTGGAATTTTTTTTATTCCTTTGAATTATCAAGCAAATAACATTATTTTTTAATGAATTTGACTTTTGTGAAGAAAAAATGTCCCTACTTACTTTTTTTTCGAATTCTGCATAGTTTAGTCAGAAATAATTATTTTTTAAATAATGCATGGCTCAGAACAGTAACTTTTTTTTAACATTTTCACATAGTAGGCATCTTTCATAGTGACAGTTTCGTTGTAACGATACTAATGTTTATCACTTTCGCGTGCTATCGTTTAAATTCTTACGTTTCTTTATCTTCTTAGTTGTGATCTTTGTGCTTGACTGCATTTCACTCGATTTTTTTACAACCATGAACCATCATCAGCAGACGCTCTTCTGACACTCGCAGTAGGATTACGTTAAAAAAGTCCTAAAATTAATTCGTTTAAACCATGCCTACGCCTCCTTGGACGGCCAAATTCACGATATCTTGAAGTTAGGGCTCCTGATTCCATCGTTCTTGCATGAATTTTTCAAAACAATTTTGCAGAAGGTTGCCTTCTATCAAGGAAACGTTGCCGATACTCTTTTTGAGACGCCAGACTATTTTCATTACAGAAATAAATGCATATCGGCATATTCACGGTTAGTAAAAGCATAATGGTTCATAGTTGGGAAATAATCGAATGAAGTGCAAAGTCAAGCACAAAGATCACAACTAAGAAAATAAACATAAGAATTTAAATCGCCGATTTTGATGAAACTTATGATAGTTGATGATTATAGTAACTTTTTTTTACTATTTTAGACTTTACTTTCACCTACTGAAATTTTGTACCTACTTTTACAAACACCCTGTATACTGAGAAACAGTTAATGAGGAGAGTTTTAAACCATTATGTCGTTCTATCTGTTTAAATTTTAAAATAACAGTTTATTTGATTTCTGTACATCCAGTTACAATCACCTTTTTCTTTTCTTCTTCTAAGCACTGATCTAAATAATATATATCCTTCTCGATCCCATCGAATCATAGACAAAGATTACTGAAATAACAGACATCGTCTGACGTTATTTAACACGCTAACAATTTAAATTAAAAAATAACGATTACCACTTTAAAAAATAACGATTACATTTTTTTTTTTGAAAAAATTTAACTCAGATGTTTGATTTAATGTCTTCATTCCAAGAAGCCATCATCGTCTTTCTTCATAAAAGAGTACAAAAGACTGTGGTAAATTCAAACAGAACACATCGGTCTAAAACTATCATCATTCAGTACAAAATGTCCCTCCCCAGGTATACTCACAGTACCTTCTCTTTCAATGAAATCAGACACTGTTTTATATATCGCTAAGAATGGTATGGCCATATTCACTCTCGGGTACACCATGTTATTATTCTCCAGTTTGGCGTTACACACGATTATCCCCAGAAGAGCACCATCTTGGTCCAGTACGGCACCACCACTTGACCCAGGATGGACGCAACATGTGGTCTTTATCATGGAAGGGTTGATTTGACTGATACAGCCCTTGGATAGTGTAGGGGAGGGATTGCATTCCCTTGGGAATAACGAGTATCCCGCGGAATATACTGTATCTCCTGCAATATATAAATTTTGCGACAAAACCAACTGCAGTTTACAGGAACATAGCATTTTTAATAATATGTAGGTACAAGTTTTTTTTACTAAAGAAATGTGTACTCACCTGATTTGTGATTTTTTCTCGAAATAGAAACGGATTTTAATTGAAATCTTTCCAGAATGTCTGTTGGGTCAGATTTCACAAGTGCTAAATCAAAAACCTCACCCTGTGGTGTTCGATATATCGAATGTGCATCACAGCTTTGTCCTTTATGAAAAAGGGACACTTTCGCATCTCCCTAAAAGTTTTTTTTACAATTAAGTTGTAGGTTTACAATTGGGTACAAAAAGTTGGTACACACTGAGAGAAATCGACCAATAAAGATAATAGTTCTGTTCCAACAAGAGTCGGGGATTGGTTCCGAACCGTTCGAAATGTTTGGCCAGCTAAGTTCTAAATGTGTCTTCAGTGAATATATCGCAAGAATTAGTTGAATGCACATTTCTGACGGTTCGGAACCAATCCCTGACTCTTGTTGGAACAGACCTAATATTTACTATAACAGAAATGTTTGTTATTAGCGTTACAGTATCATAGGCCAAACTAAATAAAAAATATTTTACACAACACAATCTTAAGTCGATGCTCTATTGGAACAAGAGGGTACCTTCTGAAAGTGAATAGGTACATTTTTTTTAGCATTTCTGCCAATAAATGTAACTAGATTACTGCACGAGAAAAAGAGATATTTTGGGTATTTACTCTTTCCTCAATGATTAGAGAGTAGTAGATTATGTAAACATTGTCATTGACATTTCTCTTAGTGTACAAATAGTATACCCAAAGGATTACTTTTAGAGATCATTGTAGTTTTAGTTCGAGTTGTGAGCAAATTTTTGAAATATACCTACTACAACATGAGAATTAGTGATAAAGATTCCTTTTTCTTCACTGAGCAAAACGGCGGTGCCCCAACGTTTTCCGCTGTAAATCTGCACCAGACAACATTCAAGAGAGGCTAAAAAATGAGAGAGTGAAGACTCATATCTTGTTTAAAGTTCAAATAGTAATTAAAAAATGTATACAACGTTGTTATTGCAAAAGTCGGAATGTTTGTTTCGCAGACTGACTGAGCAGACATTTGGTGATTACTGCTGAATGAATGTGCCAGTTCCATAATAATTCCTTTTATTTGATATTCAGGATTCGCAACTAGGTTAAATTCAAGCAGAATAATAAAGCTATGTGGGTGTACAAATTTTATTTACTCATATGGGTGTAACTTATCTTAAACACTTAATATTTTTTTACAGTGAAATTGAAAATGTGACTTACGCATTGAAACCTATATTTATGATTAATATGCTAAGATTAATGAAATCGGTAAGAAATATTATGGAGGCCTCAAGGTTAAAAATATACAGCTACATAAATTTGTGGAAGCACCGAATATAACAATAATGAATCAGTAGTTCCCCGTGATTATTGCTTTGTAGTTTATCTATTGTGCATAAGCCATTTCTATTTCAGGACTGACTATCACTACATAATAATAATAATATACCGCCCCTAATCCATTGAAGTGTCTTGCGTCTGGAATAAAAAGCAATGTAACTTACCGATCACTCTAGGTTTTTCCAAGCTTCGAATGGTATCGAACATTCTTACAGGAATATCTACTAGTTCTAAAATAATTGGTTTTATATCGGCCATTAGTGTTAGTCCGACCCATTCTCCTCTCCACCAGCTGATACTTGATAATACAAGTCCTATAGGAACTTTCTCGTTTGAAGGGTTATGACTACTAAAAATGCAACGAAAGCCTAAAGTCCTTCCTTTGTGGGTGGCGATGTTTCATTATTCTTTACTGAATATTATTCAATTGAATAATAAAAATATAAAGCTTTAGCCATCTAATTTTGTATTTAGATATATTTTACATAAAAAGTTATCAAGATAATTTAAATTAAATTAAGTGCCTTAGATTTAGGTTGCTTTATGATTACGAGGTATTTCACAATAATGTAGCAAACTTCCCTCTTTACAGAATCAAAATACAAACGTAGATTTGCCCGTAATATATCAAAAATAAAAAGACATTTTGCTGTAAAAAAGAATAATGTTATACACAATTAAAAATATAATAAGTAATAAGCGCACTTTCTGAAAATTAAACAATTGTTAGATACTGGTTTGTCATTATGTATTTGTTATGATTGGCAACTGTGTACCCTAGGTAGGTACATATTTTAATATTTATTTTATTATTTTAAAAACGTCTGTATATAATAACAGTTTTCTCAAAGAAACATTATAGTAAATTAAAAGTAACATAAACTTTTAAAGAATGAATTTATTACATGACGATCTATTTTATTGATTTTATCGCACTATGGTAAGATTACTGTTCCCTTTCTTAAATAACCTATGTCTTGAATCTTATTTTTATTGCATAGACAAAAATGACAATTTAATAGATAATTCCAATTTCACATCGTAACTTCCGTTGTTGGCTATTAGGATTACTTAATAATTTTTAGGGTAGTCCCAGTCATCACATAAACATTTTTTATTCGATTAAAATCCATATCGACGTAAAACTCTAGACTGTGTAAAATATAAATCGGTAAGTTTTGTACATTTATGTTAATTTTTTTGTCTTATTTCGTTCCTATTTTTCTGTTGCTCTTTTTATATAATTTCTTGTATACGTTTTCAATTACCTACTCACCTATCACAAAGGTACACAGGACTTCCTTCCCCTCCAGGAGTGCACGGGCAATCGCTGAGGATAAGGCAGGACGAATTACCGAAAATATTAGAAACAATACCTTTGGACACAGAGTCCATAAAATTCCTATTCGCAAATGGGACAGACCTAGTATAAATTGTAGTTCCCTTGTTAACATCCAAGGTAATAACCAAATTCCACCATTCTTTTAGGACTTTTTTAAAACCTTCAATACCTGCTCCTTCTCTAAGAACTAGTACAAAAAATAAGGACATAACTTCGCTTATATTCCTGTTATTGTCTATAGAATCTATGGCCCAGTTTTGGAAAACATATTTGTTAGAGTTTTTGATGTTGTCAGAGATAAATGCTGATAAAATTTTTGCCTTTCTCACAGTGTACAACTTTTCCTGTTTCGATACAACATTTAAGGAAATATCGCTCTCTGGAAAGTTCGTCGTTAATTTTCCCGGTTGTAATTCTTGGAGAACTGTTTGTGGCCATTGATCAAAAAGGATGTTCGCTGTTATTATGACGTAATCGTCATTCAACATCAAACCCGAACATGCTAAAACTGTGTTTTGGACTTTGTCTTCTCTTTCAACCAGTACCAAGTGCGATTTCATTCTCTAAATGGAATGTATTTCGATAAAAAACTTCAACGCGAAGAGCTAATGCTCATCACTCCTCTAAAGTATTATTACTCGTGTTCGAGTCAGTTGCCATTCAATAGTTACTATTCTTCGTTGTAGTAACATTCTTTTCCTGCATTCAATAATATGTAGTTAATATTTAAAAATAGTACCTATATCGTTATATTAGGATTAAAAGTGATACTTTTGTGGCGAGCAAAGTTACTTGACCATATTTTTTAATAAAAAAGTGATTTTTCGAAAAACAAGTGCATCTAGATTCTAGAGGCGCAATGTTTATAAAAAATCGTGTTCCCTACAAGTATTCTAGGGATATATCTTAGTTTTTAATGAGAGACACTGTATGTATACCAAATTGTATAATTGGAAATATTTTCAATGTTGAAATGTTTTTTGAAGGTAAATTTGTTAATTACACTACTTACTTTTACAATCATGTGTACGATGCATGTGTACCTTTTAGATCTTAGATCTCAAAATATATCAGATTAACAACAAAGATTAGATAAAATGCATAAGGGGTACTTATGTAGATATTTATTTAATGCTCTGTTTTTTGAATTAGGTTGTATGTATTACGAAAAAAAAAAACTCTATTTTAATATAGAGATATTTTTGCTATTGTCGTTTACAGATATATTTCGAATATCAAACGTTACCGGCTTCCTGAAAACTGTAATGTAACATAAACTATCCAGGAAGTGGCTTACTTGGGAAAACCGAATTTGACAGAAGCTGTTGTAAGTATAACTTAACGAGTTAAGAATTAGAATAATACATTTGCAAGAGGAAGAAAAACTTCATCAGTCATTTGTGTGCAAAGAAATTAGCAGCACGAAACATAAGCCCTATGTTTTGTTTTGGAAAACCTGCAGTTAATAAACATTGCAAATTCTTTTCTCAAATCAAAAAGTTTAAACTATAGCTCAAACTGCTCAAATCAAAAGAATATACAGGGTGTTTCAATTAAAACATCCCACCTGGAAAATACCGGAATAAAAAAAACGTGAACATGTCGACTTTCTTTTCAAGGGGGGCACGTGATGGCGTAAGTTTTGGTGTCTTGGAAGCTAACCCTTAGGCAAGGGCGCAAAATACCCATAAACTTTAAATGGCATTCTATGTTGAGTTACACTGTATTTTAAAGCTTTTTCAATTCTACTCACGACGACATACAACTTTTTAAATTTTGGTTTGGATATGACAATAAAATCACCACTTAAAGAATAAGACAAAATATCAATGAATGAAATAATGTTATTTTATTAAATGTTCAAATTGTTTTCCTTCCTCTTCCATACAATAATAACATCTTTGCTTTGCATGTGTGGCATAATATCACCAGCATGATGCTTTACCACATTATGCCATAGCTGTGCGTGATTTTCTTAATCAGAACTTTCCAATCACTGGATAGAACGCAAGTCGATGTGTCTCAGGTGTTTTTGTTTTTTTTTTTAATTCCGATATTTTCCAGGTGGGAAGTTTTAATTGAAACACCCTGTATGTAAGTAATATAAACAAAATCAATTAAGCTGTAACAAATTTGTTACCTAACGCTTTTCAAACAAATATTTTTTTTGTTGATTATGAATAACATCAAATGACTCTTTTGACCACCACGTACGTAATCCAAAGGCAACACAAAGGTCAGTTTGTCTTGCTGAACAATGTTGGTAAGTAACTACTCTCCAGGGTCGTATCAATGGGGAGGAGTCAAGTAATTTTTCCATTTTTTTTTTGTACCAAATATGACTCAATATATATGCCAACGAAACTAATAAATTGAGAGGATCCTTTCTTTAGTGAATAGTAAAAAAAAACAAAAAAGTAAAACTACTCACCACCGACTCCTGTAATTATTATAAAATTATAACAAGTTATGTGTAACTTAATAACAGTTCATAAAATTCTTGACATTTGACAGCGTTGAACTCTATACCTAAACGAGGTACGTTTATTACACATATTTCTGTATAATTATTTTCTACTACTATTAAATTTTATTTTCAAGTAGTCAACAAAATATATATTACATATGTATTAGTGGTTGCATAACAACAAAACGTAGCATCTTCAACTTTTCTATATACATTCTATCTGTAGTGTGATTCAGTTTCATGAAAATGGAATCGGAAAGGTTAGTGTCAGTATGGGACTGGCAATGTTTAAAATAGGTACTAAACATAGATAGACATAGATTATTACATTTTTGCCTATAATATTTCGTTGGAATTTCTCAAAATAATATTAAAGAGGAATGATGACGTAAAAATGTAATTTTATGTTGGTGGTAGTGATGGGCGGGTCGGGTCTGACCCGGATCAAAGATTCGGATCTTTACGATGATCTGACTGACCCGAATCCCGATATAAGTTCTGTCGGATCACTCGGGTCGCGGACCTCAGCTAATCTCGTATGGCCGTGCTGTGGCACTATGTAATGAAATTGATCGCAGAGGTTTACGGAGTACGCCGCCGCTCCCGAGACCCGTATGTAGTGATGGGAAGACTCGTGTATTTTAGTGACCCGGGTCATCTAGATCAATCATTATGATGACCCGTTCTGCCCATTCATGCGGCTGAGCCACCTGCAGTAGCGAGAGCGGTGACATCAGATGATTATGATATATTTTATTGGCTCGTTATTTCCATCAGCTGCTCGATTTTGTTTAGTAAAATAAAAACAGTTTTATTCTCTCATGTCAAGTGAATTATTATGTGAAAAATAATGTAGACTATAGGATTTAGTAGATATTTAGATACCTATCTTTCTACTAACTTACCTTGCAACCTTTAAGGATATATTTTATTTATTTAAATCGTTTTTTTATTTTTTGATAAGTGGATATAATAGCTATTTATGATATAATTTTGGATATATATTTTTCCTTTCATACCACCACAGCAATGGATCTTCATGTCTAACAACAACAACAACAATTTTTTTAGATTCAAAAGGTTCAAGAAAACATAAAATATACCTATATAACGGCCTTATGCTTATCTATAATGTAATATACTATTATATTTGATTTGTGTCAATTGTGTCAAATAAAATATTACTACTACTAAAGAACTGCTCTTTTTTGCGATGTATGCAAGTAACATCGAAAGGCAAACATCGATATTGGAATCGATGTTTCGAACTTTCTAACATCGATGACAATTGACAAACCATCGACAGAAAAACATCGATGCTTTCCAAACATCGGATATTATCGCCCAGCACTAATACCCCAGATTCTAATACAGTCCCACAACCAGAACCGTTCAGTCAACGTCGGATCCAGAACGAAGCGACCGACCCGACGACCCGGGATCCGGATCATAGATTCGGCTCATTGAAGAGACCCGGATCCGGTGACCCGAATCCTAAAAATGACCCGTTTTGCCCTTCACTA